GGCGCTACTGTTGTTCCCATAGCGGTAGGGAGTTGGGACCGCAGTCGGTGCTAGACCGAATTTCTTCGCGACGGTGCTTGAGTACTTTCCAGCGTGTAGGTAGAACGCCGTGTCGTCTTCGACGATGTTCAGTCCTAGGTACTGGGTAACTTCGTCGGACACCGTGAGCGTCAGGTCCCTTTTCAGCTCCCCTTCGAACCAGGTGACGATGTCGGTGGTAGAACCGATGTAGAGCAGGTCGTCGACGTAGACGATGAGCAGAATGTAATCTCTTCCCTTCTGTAGTCGGTACATGCCTTGGTCATGTGGTAGCTGTAGGAATCCGATTTTTACGAGCCGGCCGTGAAGGTGCTGCTGCCAGAGCCGTGGGGCTTGCTTGATCCCGTAAAGGGATTTTTCCAGCTGGCATACTTTTGAAGGGTCGTCGATGAATCCGTGGGGTTGTTCGACGAAGATTTCGGCGTCCACAGGTGCGTACAAGAAGGCGTTTGCAACGTCGATTTGCCGTAGTGGTAGTTTCTTCGTGGCCGCGATGGCGAGTAGGATGCGCAGAGAGGTGTGACGGGAGACTGGAGCGAAGGTTTCTGTGTAGTCGGTTCCGTATCGTTGATCGAAGCCTCGTACGACCCATCGAGCTTTGAATCGTTCGATGGAGCCGTCTGAGTTGGTCTTGATGCGGTACACCCATTTCCCCGAGAGAATGTTCTTCCCGTTGATGCTCGTTGCAGGTACCAGTTTCCATGTTTCTCGGTCTTGCAGAGCTTTTAACTCTTTTTCCATCGCTTCCTTCCATTGTGCCTTATGTTCCCCCCCCAGAGCCTGCGACAGGGTCGACGGCTCGCGCGGAGAAGGCGGCGGCGGGTGCTGGACGGAGACCCATAGTCCTAGGATCTGCAGTCCCGTGGCTGTGTGTCGAGGGGAGTTTTCATTCTCGGGATAAGCTGCTTCATCACCGTCTTCAGGATCGGGTAAGAAGTTTGGCCCGATGCGTTCGGAAATATTCGAGTCGACGGGGTGTGGTGTAGCGTAGCCTTGGTCAGCGAAGTGGTAAAAGGTGTCGAGGTTGTTGCTATCGAGGGGATTATCTTCATCGAGTGGAACAGGTACGGAGCAGTAGGGGAGTGGTCCGGCAGCCTCCGAGGCTCCAGGGACGTCTTCTTCTGCTGCGTCAGCCTCGGCAGCATGGTCAGCGAAGGAGCGAAGGCCCGCGAAGCCGTCGGTGGGGTCGTCTGAGTTGGCAATGTTGTCCAGGTAATGCTGCAGCGTCAGTCGCTCGTAGAAGATAACATCACGTGATGCCACCGTATTTTTGTCGTGTATGTCGAGAATCTTCCACGCGTGAAAATGTTTGGCGATGCCGAGGTGTAGTCCCCACCGAGCTCGTTGAGTGAAGCGTCCTGCTCGAGCTGTGTGGGGTCTGTATTGTACCATGCAGCCGAAAACTCGAAGTAATTTTGTGCTGCCCCTTTTTCCCGTCCACAGCAGGTGTGGTGATGCGTTGTTGGGGAGCGATGACGAGGACAACAGGTTGTGCAGGTGGACTGCATGTGTCATCGCGTCTGGCCACAGTGCGTTGGGCAGCCTCATCCCCAGAAGCAGTTTTCGCATCGTCGTCTGCAAGGTCCGGTTCATGCGTTCTGCTACCCCCTGCTGCTGGTGAGCATAGGGCAGAGACACCAGGCGTCGGATTCCCCTTTCCGCGAGATAGGTCCTGAAGCGTTGTGACTGGTATTCCAGTGCACCGTCTGACTGGAAACTCTTGAGTTTGGTTCCTGACTCTCGTTCGGCGATTGGAAGCCATGTGGTGAAGGCCTCGAAGGCTTGATCGCGCGTTTTGAGATTGAAGTGCCAGACGTATCTGGTTGCGGCGTCGATGAACGTGATGACGTAGTTGAAGTCGGCTTCGGTGTCGTCTCGAGGCATGTTTAGAATATCGCTGTAGACCTTTTCCATCGGAGCGTAAGTGGGTGCGCTTGGATTGTGATGGGCTGGGAAAGGTTGATGAGGAAGATCTGCTTCGGGGCACGTGAAGCATCGTGCGCGTGGTCGTCGGAGTTCCTGGCCGCTCGTCGTCAGAAGGGCGTTGCGTTCTAACACTTCTGCTTGGATTGTTTGAAGTATCGTGCTGTTTGCAGGATGTCCGAGACGTTGGTGCCAGATGTCGTCGGGAGCGCGGTGACCGGGCGAGCGGTGGTAGATGTCGGCGTTGGAGAAGAACGCGACGACCGAGGCGGGACTTCGACAAGCTTCTCGTGTGGCGGGCATAAGTTGGTCTGCTTCGGTTGGCTGTCCTCGTGTCGCTGGTGGTGGTACTCGGCTGGGTCCTGCTGCCGATACTGCAGGTGATGGTTTTGTTGGGACGCTTGCTGGTACTTGTCTTTCTTGTCTGATAACTGCTAATGCCCGTGTTCTCTCTGCTGCAGGTATGGTGTTGGAGTGCCAGAAGCCGTCACTGTCGAAGTCGGGATCAAGATCTGGTGGGTGAGTCCAGGCGGCGAACGATACGATGCCATCGCTGTCGGCAGTTCCGCGGTCGGGGACGAAGTCCAACACGAAGACACCGGACTTCAGGAGGGCACGACCGATGAAGAGACCGCCCTTCCCGTGGTAAAGTCGGAACTCGTTGGAGAAGGAGTCGCACTCCAGGTGAATCCCCTTAGCCATTAGTTGGCTTACGCTTAGTAGGTTGTATCCCAGATTGTCGACGATGAGGACTTTGTTGAGCTGAAGAATAACGTTTGTCTCCATTGATTGTAACTGAACCACGCCTTGCCTGTTTGTTTTCAGGTTTTCGTTGTTGGCGACGGTGATGACGACGTCGCGGTTGAGGCGTCGCTCGTGTTGTACGAAGTGTCCGGAGGAGCACATGTGCTGACCGCAGCAACTGTCCAAGAACCAGGTGTTCCGCCCGGTGGGTTCGGCGTTAGCGACTGCAGCGTATGTCGGGTTGACCTGAAGTCCTTGCGAGCGCGGCGGCGGGAATTCCTCTTCGTCTGGTGCGTAAGTGGGTGGTGAAGCGGGTGCGCAGTTGTCGATGTGTACCATGCAGTTGATGATGTTGGGTGTTTGTTGTGCAGATGTTGAAGAGCGCCTTGGAGGACTTGCTTGAGTGGAAGCGACTTGTGGGTCTGCTGCACGGTAAACGCGAGGGCGGTTGCAGTTGACCTTGGAGTGCCCGGAAGTCTGACAGTTGTGGCAGAACGGCGGCACGATGGTGAGTCCTCGGTTGTCGCGTTGATCTTGCTTGCTGCGTCGGTTGTAGTTGTTGTCATTTCTTCTTTGAGTGTAGAAGACTAACTGCTGTTGCTTCCTTGGTTGTCTTTCCTCGAACAGATCCATCTCCTGTTGTTCAGCGTGAAGCTCGGCGCAGAGGTGCATCTCCGAAATTCTTCCGTGGGCTCGAAGAAGTGATCGTGTGGTTCTCCATTCTGGCCCGAGCCCGGCGAGGACAAGTGTCACGAAGCTTTCTTCAGTGATCGTTCCTCCGCACCGAAGCAGGCGGTCGCGGAGGGTCTGGCAGCGACTCATATACTGCATCGCCTTTTCCCCGGTCTTCATCTGTATTGTTGTCAGCTGTTGCATGAGTCTGCTTTGTGTCACGCTGTCGTTTGCTTGGTAAAGGCATTTGAGGTGGTGCCATGCGAGCTCCGCGGAGTTTCCATAACTCCGATACGTTCTGATGCTCTGCTGCTCTTGTGGTGACAGGTTTCTCAGGAGTACCGTGTACGCCAGCAGCGACTGATACGTGAAGATCTCTTGTTCCTTCCCAGTGCCGTTGCTTGGGAATGGCAGGGACCCGTTGAAGTATCCCAGAAGATGCGCGGCCTCCATCAGCAGCTCAAACTCGAAGCTCCAGGTAAAGAAGTCGTGTCCGTTGAACGGTGAGGATGTCTGAAGTTTGATCACGTGTGAGAACTGCGCCTGTAAACTTAAGATTTCATTCGGTGTTTGTTGTGAAGCAGCTGCTGTTGGCTGGGCACGGGGCGGCATGAATTCGAACGTCCCCGGCGAAGAATGATAAGGCGCAAAGGTAGGCGCTTGGTTGTGTCGCCCGAAGGATGAGTTGTCGAGGCTCATCGGCGCTAATCCCATATTCCCTCCATTGCTCTGTGTTGAGTGCGCAGGTGTCCTTGTCTGCTGCTGCTGGTCGAAGTGTGACATGAAGCTGAAGAATCTCTCCATGAGATTCGGGTCCACACTTGAAGAGGGAGACGGGGTCACCATCTCTGGTACTCTTCCCGTTGTTTCTTGAGCAGTCCCGGTCTCTGTCTGCAGTCCTGAGGTGTGCAGACCAGAGTTGCCGTGTTGAGTTTCTTGGGCGCTGGGTGAGCCCGTAGAGACTTTCTTGCCCTTGTTGTCCATGTCTTGTAATCAATGAAGTCGTTGAATTGAGTTGAGTTGCAGGTTGTTGATAGGACGTAGTTGCTGGGAGTTTGGTCTCTGACCAGCTCTCATACCATGTTGGGCTGAGAAGTGCCCTTAGGATCTTTTGCAGAGACTAAGTCCCAGCTGTAGAGACTTGAGACTTGGAGTAGTGCAGCGGAAGTTGAGGCAGTTGAACCCTTGTACTAGTATGTGAGAACAAGTGATTGATTAAAGAAACAAGCATACAGCAATATATAGAAGATAAGAAAGCAGTTGTAGAATACAGTTACAGGAACGGTTTATCGAGTCGCACAGCGACTCGATTGCCGCTTCGGTTACCATCCGTGATGTTGTAACGGTCAGTCGCAACCTCCAGTTGCGACCTTTCGAGTCCTTTCGCATTCTTTGTCCGCCCCCTCGTGTAACCTCCGTTGACTCGCGTGCTCCCCTGTAATCTTCCTCGAGTACAGTGTTACACTTCAGAAACGCTTAAGTCCTTGAGATATTTCCAACAATTTCTTACTTTAACACATCTACCAAGCCTAAATAAATAAATAAATATATTATATATATATATATTGACACTTGATGCCAGTGAAATGAGAACGATGCCAATTGCACTAACAAAAAACAAGCTCTCTCAATTGAGATTATTTGCATGTAACAAGTGACATGAACACAGTGCACAAGGGGGCCACTCCAATATACAAGATACACGAAAGATAGCGAGTTGTAATAATCAACCAGCTGGCCGCATTTGTGTATCACGCCACAGCCACCAGTGCAACCCTAGTACCTGTCATCATCATCCCTTCTAGACAGACCCCTCACAATATTAAACAGCACGCCAGCAATAATGGCGAAGAAAAAGAAATTGAAGAAAAAGCCGATACCACCACCTCCAACGCCAATAGCAACAGAGGGACCAGGGGTCACCACATAAGGGGAATAGCCCCATCCGCCGAAGAACGGGGGTGGAGAGAAGAACCCTCCGCCATAGACAGGCGGAGCCACCACTACAGGTGGGGCGACATAGATGTTGGTGCTGCTCACGGAAGGGCAGTGGGGGGAAGGAAGGGAAGGTATAATCAGACGAGCCACTATAACGAAAGCAGGGAGGGAGCAGTAGGGGGAAGGCGACAGGAACGGTTTTCCTTCAACCACAGAAGTCATGACCCTATGAGGAAGACATGACCGTCGCCAAGAAAACACAACCGACGGCAGTCCAATCGACTTCCCCTAGCGATTCACCCTTGGCTCCCCCTGACTGTACCCGGCATTACTAGCCACTGGTCCTCCCCGTGGCTGTGCTTTGTGGCGATACTGGGATAGCTCCAGTGCTCCAATATTCCACTCTGTTATATCCCTTTATTGACTGATGGCACACACTCACTTGCTTCTGATCTGTGTGCGCGGACGAGGCGGAGGAGGCGCGGCGCGAGACTTTTGGAACGCCTGACCGCCGACGCGCCCGCCGCCTTGAGCCGCGTCCGCCACGAGAGCCGGCGACATGACGAGCGCGCCGGTGGCGATGAGAATGGCGCAATGCTGAGCCGCCACAGCGAAGAGCGAACGAGGCGAGTCGGAGGCGGGATCGCTGGGAGACTCCACCACTGCAGGCTCTCTGGTGTCATCGTAGAGAAGTGTCACAGCGACACGACACAACGTAGAGAAAGAAATACACGGATTCAGTAAGTGAAACGGGGACGAGGGTACGTGCTAGCATAAACGTTTTTTTTGTATTAGGTTTCTGAAGGCCCGAAGGAGAAGTGTAACGGAACTGCGGCAAGACGTCGCACCTTCTCAGCTTGGCATTCTCGCAGACTTCCAGAGAACCCCCTGCGGATGAACGATCAGCTTCCGCTCTGATGGAAGCGCAACGCGGAAACGAAGGACTCGTCGATAAATATCTCCTCCGCTGGCCTCGCGTACGGAAAGCTGATGAGCCGAGAATCACCGGGGCCTTGAGCAGAAGAGCCATGGCGAAGCTGGACCTTTCACTGGTATGTTGGGCAATGAGGTTAGAGAGCTCGTCAACCCCAACAAAATGAAGGCGCAAGACGCGGAGGCGGGTTCTGTCCTGTGGGATCAGGGAGGGGACTCTTGAAGATTTCTGGTTCCTGGATCCTGGTGTGACTGCCAGGCACAGTTGCGAGTGTGCCAGCTGCGACGGGTGCTACCAATCCCCGTGCTTGGGTTTCAGAGTCAGGTTGGGCAGCAGGACGAATGTGGTATGGGAGAGAATCGAGGCAACCTAAAGATTCGTGAGACCCTCCTGCAACGCATGTTGATGCTGGAAAGAATTTTACAGTGTATTTTACTGTACTTCGCTAAAATCGTTGGTTCAAAAAAACATTTGACAAGAAAAGTCTCAGGAAAGTAAGCATGCGTGGAGTGCTGTCAGCATGACGTGGCCTGCGCACTGAAGGAGCAGGAGTCAGCACGACACCGTGTCATGTGACCAGGCTGTCATGGTGCTTATCGGTCGACTGGGCGACACGCTCTAGAGTATTCGGCACACGCGATCGACGGTGGAAAATTGGCCACGCCCGCAAAGGTCTTCAATATTGGCATCGTCACTCCCTCACGACGTCAACCTTTTAGCGAAATCAAGAGTAACTGAACCGAATGTTACTCAGCCTCACTCCCACCTTGTTTTCTTCCTACAGAAATGAGAGGACTAATGTATTATTGTTCATCAGGTGTGAATGCGATACTTCAGAAGTTGGTCATCGCATGCCTCGTTCCTTACTCATGGGCTTCTCAGAAATGCGACACGCGTCCTCGACACCTAAGGCGGTCGTGGCTTACCTTCACAATGGCGTATTCCGCGCTTCGGCTATCAACGGATTCGCGGCCGTCTCATTTGCGCGCATTCCTCGTCGCACGCTCCTGCATCCCCCCTCTCGAATCTCGAGAATTCCACCACCCCTACCGCCTGGCCAGCGTCTGTGATCGCCCAGACATACCCTATCCCGCCGCAGCAAGCGCGCTGTTCCTTCCTGTCGCGCAGCTGGATAGCGTCGTATTCCACTCGGCCTTAGATCCTTTCCCCGGTTCGTCTCGCTTCTAACGCTTTAATCCTCAAGCTAGCAGCGCCGCCATGTCAGGAGCATCGCTTGCCGCAGATGTGATCACATCGGAGCCGTACTGGAGGGGACGTCCCGTGAGCGTTCCCCCAGGGGGAACGGCTTACGACGACGAGAGTCCGCGCAGCCGTCGCAGCAGCGGCGGCGGCAGCAGCCGCCGATGGCGCTCGCCCGGAAGCTGGGAGGCTCCGCTTCACTCCATGAGCCCCAAGTCCCAGAAGCAGGGACAGCAGGCGTCGCCGTCGCACGATCAGCAGCAGCAGCAGCAGCGGTCACAGCATGAAGGTCATGGCCATGGCCCGTCGCAGGAGCATGGTGGAGGATACAGCATGAATTCGGTCACAGCAACCTCGTTCATGGGGTCTCTGAGCTTCGTACAAGTAAGATGTGTAGCATAATGGTTTCAAACCTTATTATTTCCGTTGTTGCCGTAATGGAATGGTGCAACCCCCGGGTTTTTTTCCATGCAGGTTCAAATGATGGCGTTCATAGTGGTCTTCACCAGCAGTGGTCTCGTACCTCTCGAGGAGATCTTCTTCGTCGTTTTCCTAACGCTCTACTCGCTCATCCTCGCCACGTGGGCCTTCCCCCCGGTTTCCCGCTCAGCTCCCCCTAAAGTCTTCAGCGGAAACAGGCTGTTCAAAGTCCACGTGACTGCTGGGGCTGTAATTGGCATGTTCCTGCCACTTTCCTACGTTCTGGGAGGTAAGTACTTATTATTGACGTCTGATGGTCCTCAAGCAAGATGATGCATTGAGAGCACAGGGTCTATTAGTAACAGTTGATGTCTCGTTTCGTGACTGCAGGATTTGCCAAGAATGATCATATGGCAGTGGAGTGCGTGACCCCTCATCTCTTCCTCCTCTCCTGTCAAGTCCTCACAGAGAATATCATCGTTGATCTTACCTATGTCTCGCTTCCAGTCCGCGCTCTCATCCCAATCATGTAAGGAAATTTCACCAAAGCCCTGTTTGGTCTTTCAATGTGCATTAGCATGCCGCCATGCTAAGCTATTTGCCGCTCTCTGATGGCAGGTACAACTGGCATCGCCTTTCCTTGCTGGCAGAGTGGAACCGCCGCCTCCTTCAGGTGGCTGCAGCAGCCACTTCAGCTGCCAGTGTTCAAGCATCTGCCAATTCACACCCTGCAAGTGGACCAACTGGTGCAAGCAGTGGTGTGATCATCAGGACGGCGCTAGTTGGCGGGGGGTATTGGCAGTTGTTTGGAAGGTACTTGGCTGTCGCCAATCTTGTGTACTGGAGCCTGAATCTGTTTGGGTTTCTGCTCCCAGTGTTCCTACCCCGTGCCTTCAAGCGGCACTTCGAAATGGAAGCTGCAGCCGCAACTGCCGTTCCACCTGCTGGTCTTTCTTCAAAGGAGAAAGAGAAGAAAGCTCATTAAGCTCTGCCTTACAGTGGGGTCTTACTGTACGAGTTTTGTAGGCATCCTATTTGTAATGTTCGCTTCGTTCCTTATTGCCCTTGGATTCTAGTGGTCTGAAAACTCTTAGTGGATCCTTCGGTGTAACCCTTAATATAGCGAAATCAGAAGTAACATTTCGTGAATTCGGAATTTCCCGCAGTGGTCGGATGAAGGGACAGCAGAGGTCCAGTTCTTGCTCCTGATTCGACGGTTTCGCACTCTGGAACGTTGTCAGGGCGGTATGTTTTCTGATCCAAGCAGCAGTGACCACGAGTCGCCCCCGCGCTTCGCTAACGCGTCTCGTTCTCTTCTGCACCTGCCCACCACCACCACCTCCAGCCGCACCGCACATTGGCGCAAACATTTTGTCGGTCACTGGACTCGGCCTCTTTCAGGTTCAACCACCCCCTCCCCTCCCCTCCTCGTCTTCCCCCCGGTCCCAACCGCGTGACGACTAGTCTCTCATCTTCTACCCTTCCTCCTTCCCATCCCATCTGAAGCAAGGATGGCTGTCGGCTGCAGTGCAGAATCTCCTGCGGAGCAGACCTCCCATGATGTGTACAGCCATCCCGCAACTGGTTCAGAAGGTCTGTTGGTGTGATCCTTGAGCCGACCGACCAACGAGCGGCACTTGTCGCGAAGGCGGAGCTGGGCCTTTTTATTGTATGCAAACTGCGGACCTCGCGTTCAGTTTCTCGGACGTAGTATTAGCTGAGTGGAGCCCTGTCCCCGTCGAAGTGAACCGTCAGCATTCTCTCAGACGTCTCTGCTCAAGAGAATTACATAGCGTGTATGTACCCTGGTGAACGCGTCTTAATACTCGCGACACTACCACTTGAAGTCTGGACTTACAGTCCGCGAGCATATAGAGCGTAGAGATGAGATGAGGACGCGCGGGTCGTGAGAATGGATTCCCGATTTTCATCGACCAGTCCAGCAGACACCGTTTTCAAATGCCAGATCGCGTAACAGTGTGATTCGGCGCGTCATTCGCGTAAGACCACTTCGCACGTACCCGGCGTTAGATTTCTTCTCATTCGCGTAGCGGTGTGATCCTTGCAGCCTTTTCGCAGGTCGGAAAAAAACCCATCGGAATCCAGGCCAGCCCGCACCCTGCTTCACGAGAGAGCACTCCTATCAGAACGCTCTCTCACCATTTTTTCATTCTTTTGCCACCGACCGACCTTCTGCCGTCGACACCGCCCATTCTCCTAACTCAGCCATTTCGTTCCCTCCACCCTGGAACACCGTATTCCAGTAACCTTTGACCAGCTGAATTTGCAGCAATTTATTTATACTCTTCCACATCAGCCTTCAACCCTCCCATACACGTTAAGCTTTCAGCCCTCCATACTCTAAGCGTACCATGGCTACCCAAGGCTCAAAGCGACACCCCCAGCGACGAGTAACCCCCCCGCTGTCCAGAATCCTCGTTGTTAGCCTCCTCGTTTTCGTGTTCGTCGTCGTCTCGGCTCTTCTCGAACCAGTTGCAGCCGATGCCTCAGCCGACGCCGCCCCAGTGCCCTCCCCAGCACCGCCGCAATCCGACGTGTCGCAGTCAGCCGCACAGCAGGAAACGGTGAGGGAGAATGGGACGAGTGTAGACTCTGATCAGGGGAGCGGTGGAGGGGGGAATAACGGGACTGACGGCGCCGGGGGGGACAACGGGAAGGCGCAAGGCGACGGGGGGAGCGACGCGGGAGGTGGGAACAGCGGGGATGGTAGCGACGGTGGTAACGGTGGTAGCGGCGGTGATGGGAATGGCGGTGGGAGTGGCGAAGGGGGGGTCATCCCGGGGGGAGTTCCTCCGCCGGACGACACAGGGGGGCTCAGCACGGACGGACTGACCTCCCCCGACGACTCCTCGTCGTCACTGCTCTCCTCCTCCTCGTCCTCTTCCGCACCCACGTCCTCCCCCTCTCCCTCCTCTTCCTCCTCCTCCTCCTCTTCCTCTTCCTCTTCCTCTTCCTCTTCCTCTTCCTCTTCCTCTTCCTCCTCCTCCTCCTCTTCCTCTTCCTCCTCTTCCCCATCCGCCGCCGCCCTAGAGCGCAAGTACAGCGACGCCATCGCAGCGTCGTACATCGTCTACCTCCGCGCCCTGCCGGCCGTGCTCAACTACAACGGCGGCATTGCCGGCTACCCGGCCACTTCTCCCTCCTCCTCCTCCTCCTCCTCCTCCTCCTCGTCACCGCCTCAAGGCGACACGTCAGTGTTTGATTTGACGTCATTAAAACCGTCAAGCCTATTGACGTCACTTACCACCGACGCGAGCAGCAGCAAGGGCAAGAGCCAGACGAACCTACGCGGGGGACCAGCCGTCGTTCAGCGCATAAGGCAGCGCCTGCGCGGCCGACTGCGCGCCGACGTGCGCCTCGGCAGCGTGAAGGCCTTCGGGGACCTGCTGGGGCGGCTCCACCGTGACGTGGCAGATTCCGTCAAGCTGCCGCTCTCCCGCATTTTCCGGAGCTACACGTACACGATGAACGCGTTCGGCGCGCGGTTAACTCCGAAGCAGGTGCACAAGCTAAGGCGGCACCACGCCGTGGCGATGGTTCGGCCGGACCGGATGGTCCAGCAGCGGACCGTGCACGTGCCGACGTTTCTGGAGCTGCCCGCGACGCTGTGGGGCAGCAACGGCGGGCAGAAGAAGGCCGGCGAGGGGATGATCATCGGAGTGGTGGACTCGGGGATATGGCCCGAGCACCCCTCGTTCGACGACGCGGTAGGTGCCATAATCCGTGCTGTCGTGTTCTTTTTCCCACTGAGCGTCCGTTCCTCGGCGGCGCTCCGTTGCCCACCCCTCCGTGTTTCTGGACATGCACTTGCCTCTGTTTATCTTCGAGAGGGGATATTATCCTCCCGCTTTGTTCATCTTCCTCCATCAATCCCCTCGGCCCCTCCCGTCTTCCCCGCGCTCAGGGCTACAGCCCCATCCCGTCCCGGTGGACGCGAGCGACTTCAACGGTCCATCCTTCCTTCCCTCCCTTCCCCCTCGCTTCACATCTCTCCTCCTCTCTGCTTCTCTCCTCTTCCCCCCCCGTATTCAGGGCTACGGCCCGATCCCGTCGCGGTGGACGGGGCTGTGCGTGAACACGAGCGACTTCAGCGGCGCGTGCAACCGCAAGGTGATCGGCGCGCGCATGTACAGCGCGGGGCTCAAGACGGCGGACGTGCCCATCGACTTCTCGCAGGACTACAACTCGCCCCGGGACAACAACGGCCACGGCTCCTGGTGCTCCGGGTATGCCATGCGATCATGCTGTTTGGAGTGGTGCTGCGGGTAGGGCTCGTGGTGCTGCGGGTAGGCATGCATGCACATGCATGCGCGTCAACAACGGTGGTCCTCATGGGTTCCTTTGCTTCCTGTCTCGCTTACATATCCCTGCCTCTCTGTCTCACCACCTCCGCTTCCCCACCTCCCCCTCCCCCCCACCCCCAACCCCAACCCCCTTCCCCTCCACAGGGCCGCAGCGGGCAACGCGGGCGTCCAGGTGCGCATGGGCGGCGCGGCGTTCGGCGCCGCGTCGGGCATCGCGCCGCGCGCGCGCATCGCGATGTACAAGGCGATGTGGAAGCTGGTGGGGTACGAGGGCGCTTCGGGCGCCATGAGCGACGTGTACGCAGCCGTCGATCAGGCGGTCGCGGACGGCGTGGATGTGGTCTCGATCTCCGTGGGCGGGGGGCTGGGGAGCTACTTTGATGACGTCACGTTCGTCACGGCGGCTAAGGTGCGATTGGGGAGGAAGAATAAGGGGGATGCGGCGGCTAAGGTGCGGGGACGAGTGAACCTGGAGGAAAAAAAAGAGCTCGGCAGAGTCTCTGTTACCTACTGGTGTGACAACGGTTGTGTGCGTGACCGTCAACGACAACGTGAATGTGAATGTGAACACTCTCGTTGCGCTCTTCCCATCCTGCCCAATCATAATCTCGATTTCCCGTTCGATTGAATTACTCTCTGTTGCACTGTATCATCTCACCTTCCGCCTCTCCCCCGCTCCCCTGCTCTCCGACAACCCCCCAGGCGGGCGTGTTCGCGGCGCTAGCAGCGGGCAACCAGGGCATGCCGCCGCTGTCGCCGTCCGTGTACGCCACCATCGACAACTACTCGCCCTTCTACCTCACCGTCGGCGCCAGGTGCGGATGCGGACCGAGTGGGGGGCGTATTGTCACGTGTGTGAGCGTCGGGAGGGGCTGAGTGTGAGAATGGCGCGAGTAATCAGGCTCTGCGCGGTACATCGCTGCTGAGCTGTTGCCGGCACCTGGTCACGGTGTTACCACACGGTGTTACCCGCTTGCGCCCAAATGTATCCTCCCCCCTCTCCCCCCAATGCAGCGCCACGGACCGGCAGTACATGGCGACACTGGTTCTGCTTCCGACCATCAGTCCCCTTCCCGCTACCCCCCTCCCACACCCGAACATCTCTCCCCCTCCCTTCCCCCAATGCAATACAGCTCCACGGACCGGCGGTACATGGCAACGCTGGCGCTGGCCAACGGCGTGCAGCTGCAGGGGCTGAGCTGGGGCGGCAGCAACAAGCAGATGAGCCTCGTGGACGGCTCCAACGCCGTCAAGCCCTTCACCAGCTCCACCAAGGTGTGCCAGTAGACCTTCCAAGGTGCTTTCCTTACCCCTCCAGGTCTCTTGCCCTTTGCTGTGCTTTGACGTGCTGGGCCGTTATGTCTCGCGTGTCCTGACGTGTGCCATCGCTTGTATACCTCTTACCCCTTGCAGCTGGCTCATATCTATCGCTGTATTTCCTTTTGTGGGGTCTCCTGAACGTCTACTCACTCTCTCCCCCCGCCTGTCTGCTCCCTGCTCTCAGGCGCGTCTGTGCTACACCAACTCGCTCACTGCCTCCAAGGTCTCGGGCAAGATCCTCTTCTGCGAGCGGGGCGAGAACACCCTCGGCGACAAGCTGCAGGCAGCCACGACAGCGGGGGCCGCTGCGTTGGTGATTGGGAATGTGCCCGGCGGGGTGAACAACACGGTGTTTCTGCGCGCTGCCATCCCTGTCATTCATTTGAATGCGTCTGCATCGGAGGCGCTGCGGAGATACCTTGGAACAAGCAGGTGAGAGTGAGGAGGATCGCATGCTGGCTGGCTGTTGACGACGACTGGGAAGCTGTCTTGTTAAGGAGATGGCTTGGCACCAGCAGCTGCTAGCGTGGGTGATAGTTGGGGTGATGGGGAGTGTCATTCATTCTTCTCGTCCTGTACCCTGTCTCGTCCTTCTCGTTCCACCCTGCTTTTTCACCCCATAGCTCATCCCGCCCCCCCCCCCTCCCCCACCCCCCCCCCCCCCCACTCCCCCCTCTCCTGCATCCGTTACATCTTTCCCCCCCTCCCCCCTCCTCCTCTCCCCACCAGGCCCACAGCGCGTCTGTCAGCGCCCTATGGCGTGGACAATTTCCTCGCGCCCATTATCGCCGATTTCTCCTCCAGGGGGCCTGTCACCAACCCCTCGCTCGCCCCCAGTCCCGGCGTTGCCACCAATGACATCTTAAAGCCTGATGTGGTGGGCCCGGGAGTTAATCTCTGGGGCCCGTGGCGCGCTCAGTACCCATCTTCAGACCCGAACAACTTTGGGCTGCTGTCTGGGACGTCGATGGCGACCCCGCAAATGGCTGGAATCGCCCTGCTGATGCTGCAGAAACACCCTGACTGGACCCCTGCTCAGGTGATTTCAGCAATGATGTCGACGGCGGCTGTGAGGACGAACCAGGGGGGGGCGATACCGGCAGGAGACACAGGGAGCGCTGCTTCCCCGTGGGACATGGGGGCGGGGCATATCAGCCCCAAGCGGGTGCTGGATCCCGGGCTGACTTACAATGCTGGGATCCGGGAGTTTGCAAACTTTCTGGCGGGGCAGGACGCGGGGAAAGCAGCAGGGCTGTTTTCGAGCCTGGGGACTCTGAGCCCGGTCCCTGCGTACAACCTCAACAGAGCGTCGATCTCGGTGTCGCGACTGAGAAAGACTGTGACAGTGGTACGGACGGTGACAAATGTGGCGAAAGCCATGTCGACGTACCGAGCGACGGTGGTGGCGCCTGGTAGCGTGTCGGTGTCAGTGTCACCGAGTGTGTTTAGTATACCGGAAGGCGGGTCGGTGACATACAAGGTGACGATCACGCCGAAGAAGGTTACTAACAGCTTTTCGTTTGGGAGCCTTACGTGGAAGGATAGGCAGGGGCATGTTGTGAGGTCTGTGATTGCTGTTCAGACCATCTCGTGAGCAGCTCCGCTTGGCTTCTCTTCCTGCGGTGATGAGATTTATCCAACACAAGGAGATGGCGGTGTGGCGTGGTGTCGTGCTCGGTATGACTAACTAGCCTAACATCCACCTTGTTCTGAACTGAAGTAGTTGTTGGACATGGCACGTGTCACAACAGTGCTTAGTACTCTCACTCGTGCAGATTTTTTATTATCATGTGCAGATCTTGGCTGAGTTTGGCTTCATGGGTGTTCTCATCCTGGGGATGTGCCATCAAGTGTTGACAACACATAATGCTCTGTTCCATGTGAAGGATAACGCGAATAGGTATCACGCTTTTTGGGTGGAAGAAGCCAACAAGTTGTTTACTAACCTTGATTCGTGAAGCTAGTCAATTTCACACTTGTATTTCCTCCAAATCCAACTTTTTGCACACGTTACAATGAGCGTTTGATTTCACCTTATTCATGTAGTCCGAACGATATGCAAAGCTTAGAACGATGATTCACAGGTGGGGCTGCCTGGAACACCTGCGCCGCGGGATGTATCCAATGGCCACGTCAGTACACGTACGCACACTTGAGATTCCCTGTCATCCTCGGTTTTCCCGCCATACTTCGTCTGATGGTGGAAGCTGGAGCTGGTTGATGGTGTTGTCATTCGCGACGGAACATCAGCCAAAAACCCGGGAGAAGAGTTACCACACGTGAACGAAAGAGAAGCCAATGTCAGACCCTCGTCTGGGCTCGCCGGCCTCGCACTTGGTCGGTTACCCGGCGCCAGGAAATACTGGTTCGGGAGTCTGTCCAAGTCTTCCCACCGCCAAATGGAAGGGAGGAGGCTCGGCTGCCCCACCGCATGCTGGTTTCGCTTGAGTTCAGTGGGTCCGTTGCCCCTCTAGATTCTGGTGAACCTTGGGATCTCCAATTTGGTGATTTCTATGATTCAATCAATCCCACTCAGCAGCAGAGCTCATTCAATCCCTGCTGACTCCCGCAACTCCTGCGACTGCAACCTCACTTAGTAGCATGTGGAGGCCTGATTACTAGGCCTTAAAAAAAAAAAAAAAACTTCCCGGGCGAGAGCAATGATTGTGAGGCGTCTCTCTGGCTATCTTTCCGCCTGTCCTGTCTAGGATCAAATTAGCCTGTTGAAGTATCATTATTCCTCTAATGTCAAAGACCCTGACGTGTTGAGGCCACGCATTAGTGAATATTTTCATCGCGATCCCTCACTCAGACATCAACATCAGCCATTCCTTGCACCTCCTCCTGCGATATCCGTCTCTGGCGCCGCTTTAACAACCGTTCACCATTGTCCATCACCCTGACGGCCGGCCAGCCGGACCGCCATGTTCGCGAGGCTCCTCGGAGCGGCCGCCGCCACTGTCGGTGGCGCGGCGACGATTGCTGGCGTCGCCGGCCCGGTTGACGAGGTCAATGAGGTGGGTCGTTGTGCGGCGACAAAGTTTAAGGACACGAAGAATTTTGCATGGTTGTCGATAACAACACGAGGTCGAGGAGTCCTGTGATCATTCTGGTTTGGACCGCTAGGCACTAGTTTGCCGCTCTAGTAAGAATCGGTACTTCCTCTTGTCATTGTGGCTGGGTACGTTCGCCCTCACATGACATGAAACCGTACAGCACACCCACGAAAAGAACCAGAACTGCCAATGTAAGTTTCTCCCAAATCGCACTTCTCTCTCATCCCTCCCTGCCAATCCCTTCTCCCTCCCCACCCTCCCGTTCCCCGTCCTTTTCTCTCCCTCTCGCGTTCCTCCCGCCGTCTCACATCACGCCTACCCCCTAAAGGCGGCGGCGCTGTCGGTGCCGGGCGGCGCGCTGAAGCCGTCGCAGCTGGAGCCGCGCGTGGCAGTGCATCACGGCGTCCCGAGCACCACCACGCACCTCGCCTTCGACCCGCTGCAGCGCCTGCTCGCCATGGCCACGCGGTACGGCCGCCAGAGTAGGGTGTGCTTGGTGGCTCGCTGGGGAAGCGGGAATAGGACGCGGGAATAGGAGGATGGAGTAGAAAGAGGGAGTAGGAGGAGGGACGAGGGAAACGGGGGCTGACGATGAGGAGGGCGGGCTGGAAGGGCATGGGGAGTGAAGAGGAGAAAGAAGCGGAATCTGGGAAACCAGAGGGCGGCTGGTACTAGATAGTAGTGGATACGAGATGGGAAGCTAGCAGGGAATTTGGGCAGCAAGGATATCGTCTCACGATCGGAGGAGCGTATCTCTAGCTTCTTCGCGCGCCTTTGCCCGCCATTGCTCGCCATTGCTTGCCGCTAACAACGCCCCCTTTTCTCCTGTTACTCGTGTAGCAGCCAGTCTGTTGCTCACGTCTCTCACCCAATCTCTTCCATGTCTTGACCCGCACCATCAACGGGCACCCCCACCCTTCCCCCCCCATCCCCCTCTCGCCCCCCTCCCCCCTCCGTCCCTCCGTCCCTCCGTCCGCCTTTTCCCGTGCGCGTGTGGGGCGGCATGCGAGCAGGGACGGGCGGTTCAAGGTGTACGGTCGCGACGGCATCGAAGTGCTCTTCACCTCGCCCTCCCGCGCTCCCTGCAAGTTCCTCGAGGTGCCACTGCCCGCCTCGTGCTCGAGTCGACGCCTCACCTCCTCCCTCCCTCTCCTTCTCCCTCTCAAGCGGTCCTTGCATTGCTTAGAAGCGTAGGTACAGGCTAGGCAGACAATAGAGCGCAAGGTGAGTACATGCAACAGCACCAGTTAGCCTCCTAAGGGAGCTCCGCCACGGGCTCAAGGACTGCGAAGCAATCCGCCAAGGAGAAAGTCTCCTCGGGTGAACCCACGGGGGGGTGCTCGGCTAGGGCGGCTTCATTGACCTTCTTGAGGTAAGAGCTTGCCTAAACCCGCTGGAGCGCGACGGACCAGCGCTGCCGGAGTTGATGCAGCATATTGGCGGCGTGGAAGGTTGAGGGGTCCCTCTCTCTCTTTCTCTCTCCCACTCTCACTCACTCGCACGGAACATCACCCTCTCACTTTGGCTTGCCCAACGACCTGCGTCGCCCTCCTTCTTCCCTCCACTTTCTGTTTTTCCGCTGTGTTCATCCCTCCACCGTGTCTTCCCTTCTGTCTGTGCTCGTGTTCCTTCCCCTTCCTCCACACCCCCCCCCCCCCCTCTCTTCCCCCCTTCCCCCAGTTTATGGTCAACCGAGGGCTGCTTGTCATGGTCAACACACAGAACGACATTGAGGCAAGTCCACCCACTAATAATGCTCTGCGTTGATCTTGTTAACATACCCACCTCCAGCTGCACCCGCGTGCTCATTTCCTCTCTCCTCAACCCACTACTCTTACCCATTCACCCCGTATTCCCCCCTCCTGATCCTCCATTCTCCCCATTCCCCCATCCCCCCCACTCGTACCTCTCTTCCCACGATGTCCTCCTCCTCCCACCCCCCATCCCACTCCCCCTCCCCCCCCACCCACCCCCATGTCGGCCCATGCATGCAGGTGTGGGACCTGTGTCGCAAGCAACTGGGCGCGTCTCTCAAGTGGACGGCTGATGTGACTGCACTCGCAGTTGCGCCCAGCTCACGCTTCATGTCAGTGGGGGGGAGGCCGAGGGGGGAGGGGGGAGTGGGGAATGGGGAGTGGGGAGTGGGGAGAGAGCGGGGGAGCTAATATCGTGGTCAGACAGGAAGGGGAGTGATGGAGAGGTGGGTTTGATGGAGATGGAGTTTGGTGGCTGGGAAATATTATGATGCCACAATGTGCCCCATTCACACCTAATCCGTTTCTGCTCCCACCCAGCCTCCATGCCCACTTCCAAGTTCCAACCACCATTTCCCCGTGCTCACGTGCCTTGATGCTGGCTGGCAGCTACATAGGCGACGAGGAGGGCGTGCTGAGCGTGCTGGAGTATACACCTAGTGACAAGCCCGGCAGGGCGGCCAAAGGGGGAAAGGACGGCCTTGCGGGTGATCTCTCCATCAAGCCCTACCGCGTCCCCCTCACTGCCACTCTCGGTGCGTCATAGCTCTCAGGCTTCCCCTCCCTCTACCGTCCCCCTCTGCTCTTGAGTCGACTCAAAGGCTGAGAGCAGCCTTGGGGGGTGAAGGACGGCCCTGCTGGTGGCCTCTCCATCGAACCCTACCGTGTCCCCCTCACTGCCACTTTCGGTGCGTCACCAACTTAACTCTCCACCCTCCCCTCCCCCTCTCCTTCCCACCCCTCCCCTCCCTTCCTCCTCTGTCTTAAACTGCTCGGGGTCCACGCCCCATCTCTCAGTCTTAGGGAGAAAAAGATCCAGGCTTCTTACCACGGGCCCCAGTGCTGACCTTCTCACCTTGTCTTGCCATTGTGTGTGCAGGCCCACTCATCTCTTCAGGCGCGCTGGATGCGCCACCCTCCCTCATCGCCATCCTTCCACAGCCCTCAGCTCCACACAACAGGTAACGGCCTCAGCAATCACCTGTATGTAGAATGTGCTGTGTTCAGTGCACGCCGCAGGTGGTTGGGTCTTCCTCTCCAGTTTACAGTGCGAATAAGGGCTTTGATATCTTCCTTGATCTTCTGCCCCCCTCTACTTTATTGTCAACGGTAGCGTTTCCTGACTAGATCTGCTGCCTCGGCGCTGCTCCTTTGCTTCACCCATTCTCCTCTCCCCCTTCTCCCCCTTCTCCTCCTCTCCCGGGCCTCTCCTCCACCAACCCCCCCCTATTTGCCCATTCTCCTCCTTCCCCCCACCCTCCCTCCCCTCACAATCTCCCTCATGTTCGTTCTCTCCCCAGGGTGCTGCTGGCGTATTCCAACGCCATGCTCGTGCTCTGGGACCTGCACTACCTGCAGCCAGTGGCCATCAGGGGCGGCACTCGCGCCCAGCGCACTGCCCTTCTAGACGCCTCTGCTGCAGCCGCCGCCGCCGCTGCCACCGCTGCAGCCGAAGCGGCTGCTGCTGAGGGGAAGAAAGGCAAGAAGGGCAGTAAGGGAGGGGGAGGAGCAGGCGGGGGAGGGGACGGAGGGAAAGGGGGGGGGATGATGGATGAGAAGGAGAGGGAGCGCGCGTTGGAAGGGGAGGACGTGGAGGGGAAGGAGGTGTGTAGTGTGTGCTGGGCGTGTCAGCAGGGGGCGGTGGCGGCAGTGGGGTATACGGATGGGGATGTGGCCCTCTGGGGGTTCCCAGTGCTATCCAGCAGCAGCAGCAGCAGCAGCGGCAGTGGTCATGCTGGAGGTAGCAGCGACACCAGCACTAGCAACAGTGGCGGTGGCGGCGGGGTTGGGGCCGTGGGGGAGCCCATACCCGCGGCTCTGCTAGCAGATACCAGGGCTGAGGTGCTAGGACGGCCGCTGAGAAAGGTGGTGGTGGCGAGGGGCAAGGGGGGCAAGCTGCCGGTGACGATTCTGCGGTGGTGCTGCGACAGCGACGCGTGGGGGAAGAAGGCCAGCAAGGGAGGATATGCTGGGGGCGGGCGGCTGTATGTGTTTGGTGGCGATGTCCTGGGCGCGCCAGAGACTGTCTATGTGAGTTGTTGGTTGTATGGGATGGGAGCTTGAGGGGAGCCTCTAACACGGGTGCTTGGAATGGCTGCTGGCTTGGAATGGCTGCTGGCTTGGAATGGCTGCTGACTTGGAATGGCTGCTGGCTTGGAATGGCTGCTGACTTGGAATGGCTACTGGCTTGGAATGGCTGCTGGCTTGGAATGGCTGCTGGCTTGGAATGGCTGCTGGCTTGGAATGGCTGCTTGCAGTGGCCTGTTCTCATCTCCAGGGGCTTCTCTCCATTCCCCCTTCTCTCACTCACTAACAAGTCAGTGTTGAGACATCACAAAACCGTCTCCCCCGCTCTCCTCCCCTCCCACAGGTGGTGTCACTGGGTCCTCTCCCCTCAGGCCGGCCAGAGCTAGCCGCCAGGAAGCTGCCCTGGTTCTGGCCTGTGGCCAACATTCTAGTGGCACCAGACATAACCGCCATGGCCCTTTCTACCCTCTCGCCCTCTCCTCTCCCCATACCAGGTGGTGTCTCTGGCCTCGCTCCCCTCAAGCCTACCAGAGCTAGCCAGCTCGAAGTGGCCGACATCTTGTGCCACGAAACGTAACCACAACGCCCCCCTTCTACCCTCTCCTCTCTCCTCCCTCCCACAGGTGGTGTCACTGGGTTCTCTCCCCTTGGGCCGGCCAGAGCCAGCCGCCAGGAAGCTGCCCTAGTTCTGGCCTGTGGCCAACATTCTAGTGGCACCAGACATAACCGCCACGGCCCTTTCTACCCTCTCTCCCTCTCCTCTCCCCATACCAGGTGGTGTCTCTGGCCTCGCTCCCCTCAAGCCTACCAGAGCTAGCCGGCTCGAAGCTGCCCTGTTTCGGGCCAGTGGCCGACATCCTAGTGCCACGAAACGTAACCACAACGTCCCCCTTCTACCCTCTCCCCTCTCCACTCTCCCTCAGGTGGTGTCACTGGGCTCGCTTCCTTCGGGCTTGCCAGAGCTGGCCGCCACGAAGCTGCCCTGGTTCGGGCCAGTGGCGGACATCCTTGTGGCACCAGACGTGCCTGCCAAGCCGCGGCCCAAGGAGGCGGGCAAGAAGCCAGGGGCGGCACTGATGGTGCTGACTGTCCCAGGGCAGGTGCACCTGTATGATGAGTATGGCATGGAGCTCTACTTCTTCTCCCTTGCTAACCCACCTGCTGCTGCCGGTAGTGCTGCTGCTGCTGCTGGTGCTTTGCCAGCAGCAGGAGCATCGTCTCTAGCAGCTGGTGGTGGTGCTGTTGGTGCGGGAGGAGCAGCGTTTCCGTCGTCGGGGAGTGTGGGGTCGGTGCGGTTGCCTGAGCCCATGTTGTTTGAGTGCCCCAACTCAGTCGCCACAGCTGCCATCATGTCCATTGCCGAGCCCCACTCCATCGCTGCACAAGTGCTGCTACGGGTGCGCACTTTTCCTGTCTTTCTTATGTTTGTCGCTATTCTTGTTGAACTTGATGTGTTCTTGTTGTTCTCTCACCGCTTGCTTCCTCCAAGTCTCCCCTTCTCCCTCCTTTTTCCCCAGTGCTTTTTCCCTCTCTCTTTCTCCATCTCCTTCACGCTATTAGCCCTTATGTGTATTACCGTGCCTTCTGTGTCCGGCAACCCTTTCCCCTCCCCTCATGTCTCATCGCTTAAAGTCCAGATCCCAAATTAGTCAAGCAAGGCATCAAACTGGGCCCAGTTTGATGCTGACCGCGCTCGCTAACTACCCAACAAAGAAAAGAGCCAACTACCTCTTCGCCAAAGTTAGGGGCAAAGTCGAGGCTGGTATATCAACGGTGGAAATCAAGTTTGTAAACTGGGCCCAATTTGATTCGTGCAGTTTCTGCTGTTGGATCGGGCTTGCCAAACCCAATTCCCATCAAACCCTGCTCTTGCTAGGCTTCCAATCGACGGCTGTAACTCTGCTTACAAATTGGGACTTCATGTGTATCTGCGTCTCACCGTCAGATCCGCGTTTGGCCCAACTTGAACTCACCCCAAATCAAACTGGGCCCAGCTTGCATACAAATCCTGCGCGAAGTAACAGAATCACGTTTTTTCGCACCCAATAACACAATAGTTTTTTCCACCCGCCCACCCCAAATTCTGCCCGTTGACTTGCGTGAACTAATTTGGGATCTGGGCTTTAACCCCTTCCTTGGCAAGCCTACTCCTCCTTCTGGCTCCCACTGTCCCTTCTCATCCCTCACACCTTTCTGCTACAACATTTTCTTTCATGCAACTGTAAATCAGAATCAAAACCTTCACTTCTCTTCTCTTCTCTTCTCTTCCCTCTCCCTTTCCGCCCCCCACCAGCTGCCCCGCACGTCTGGCTCGCGCTGCCCCGCGCACCTATCGCACGGCACGGAGTGGCCAGTGTCGGGCGGGGAGATGGCTGAGTCCACTGAGCTCATAGCGGACCTGGGCCTCTGCCTGTTCGTGTCCGGCCACCACAATGGGCTCGTGCACCTCTCGGACGTCTCCACGCCTCTCCTCACGCCCCTCGTTTCGGCCATACCCATTGCCTTCCCGGTTCGTGTGTGCGAGAGCCCCTCTGTTGCGGGACCGGACACTTGGTCTCTTGCTCTCTTGCTCTCTTGCTGTCACTGCTGCTGGTGCTGGTGCTGCCTCTGTTGCGTGCAGCCCCTGTTTGCCTGTTCCTGCTGTGGGGGGTGCCAGCGTCCCAGCATGCCGTGACCTTGCAGTTTGCACACTCCCCCGCACCACCTTTCCCACGTACATAAGGAGCCGTACAAGCCGGTGACCGCCCTGAACTTCTGCCTGGCATCTGGCCTTCTGGCCTCCTAGCAGTGGGACATGGCAATGGCTGAGTGCATCCTTTCGTCCATTCCTATCCACTCCCTATTCCCCCACCCCTCCCCCCCCTGCCGTCCCGCTTCCCCATCTGCTTCACCCAATCACAGATGGAGCCATACGAGCCGGTGACTGCCCTGGACTTCTGCCCAGCGTCTGGCCTCCTATCGCAGTGGGGCATGGCGACGGGTTGGTGCAGCTGTTTGTGCTGAGCACCTCCCTTTCTTCCTTCCCTATCCACTCCCTATTCCCCCCCTGCCCACCCTCCCCATCTGCTTCACTCAAGTGCAGACGGAGCCATATGAGCCTGTGACTGCACTCGACTTCTGCCCAGCGTCTGGCCTCCTAGCAGTGGGGCACGGCGACGGGTTGGTGCAGCTGTTTGTGCTGAGCGCGACGGCAAGCGTGGTGTGGGTGTGGACGGTGCGGGAGGCCACGGAGGCGGATGCGCCGCTCAAGGCCGCTGAAGACGGCACTGCCATCGACGTGCAGGATGGATTCGTGTACAAGAAAGGTGGGTCGAGGCTTTTGAGTGGCTCTAGAGAATTCTCAAAACTCACCTGCAAATGGTCGGGGCTTTTGAGCGGCACAAGGATATTGATTCAAGTGAAAGCGGCTGCGGAAAACGGCCCTGCCATTGATGTGCAGGATGGGTTCGCGTACAAAAAAGGTGGGTCGGGGGATTCGAGAGACGGAGGGGTGCAGCTGGGAGAGTGTTATGGGAGCTCTGGGGGGGGGGGGGGAGGATGGCTGGAGGTGTGAATCACGCGTTGACTTAGTACCCTATCTTCGCCTTGTGCTCTATGTTTCCATCTCTTACCATCCCTTCCTTTCCCCTACCATCCTCCCCTTCCGTCCATTCCTACCCATCCCCTTCAACCCCACCAGCGGCGGCGCAGGAGGCCCCGCAGGGCTTCCAGTGTGTGGCGCAGTTCCGCATCCACACATGCGCCATCCGAGCCATCGCCCTCGCCACCTCCATCGCCAGACTCGCCTTCGGAGACGACCGAGCAGGAGTGCGTCTCCCCCCCCACCCCCCCCTTTCCGCCCCCTCCCGCTTCCCTCTTCCCTCCGCTGTTCCCTCTCGCTACCCGCCTCTCGCTACCCGCCTCTCGCTACCCGCCTCTCGCTACCCGCCTCTCGCTACCCGCCTCTCGCTACCCGCCTCTTGCTACCCGCCTCTCGCTACCCGCCTCTCGCTACCCGCCTCTCGCTACCTGCCTCTCGCTACCCGCCTCTCGCTACCCCCTTCTCGCTACCCCCCTCTCGCTACCCCCCTCTTGCTACCCCCCTCTCGCTACCCACCTCTCGCTATCCCCTTCTTGCTACCCCCCTCTCACCACCCCCCATACGCTACCCCCCTCTCGTTGCTTCCCTCAGTGCTTCCTCCTGCTCCCCGCTCCCCCAAGTGCCCTTCCTTATGGCCTGCGCTGTCTTCCCTTGTGCCTTTATCTCCATTCTCATAGATCCTGCTCATGCAACTGCCTATGCAACTGCCTGTGCAACTGCCTATGCCAGTGCCTATCAAGTACCTACACCTCTCTGTGCCAGCCACTGTTATTTTTGTCAGGAGAAATCTGTAAGTTAACCACTCAAACCTGAACACGTCTCTCGAACCTTCTCTCCCTCCGTCCTCCCTCGTCAGGTATCCCTGGTAGACCTGTAGTAGACCTCACCACCGTTCAAGCTAGTGCCCCGACACATCATGCCTCCTCCCTACACTCTCTCCAGTCGAGTCATCAGTCATCCGTCTTGCTCCCTCCCCCCCCCTTCCCCCCCAGGTGTCCCTGGTGGATCTCACCACCTAGTCCCCCAGTACGTGATGCCGCATCCCTAGGACTCTTTCAACCCGACTCAAAATTCGTCCCTCCTGCTCCCTCTACCCCCGCTCTCTACCCAGGTGTCCCTAGTAGACCTCACCACCTTCAAGCTGGTCTCCCAGTACGTCATGCCGCGCCCCTGGAACGCTCCTCCTCTCTCCATCTCCTCAATCTCCTTCGCCCACCTCCCCTCCGCCTTTGCTGCTGCCAGCGCTACCAGCCTCCTCACCCCCAGCACCACCCGTAGCACTGGCCCTAGTGCATCTGGTCTGGGTGCAGGCGACGGCAGCAGCACCCCTGCATCTTTCTCCACCTCTACCCCCGGCCGTAGTGTGGATTCGTCTACTTTTCCCGGGCTGCTCTCTCCTGTGTCGACCCCCTCGGCGTCGTCGTCGGGAGGGGGGGCTGGGGGTGGAGGGGGGGAGTGGGGCGGGGGAGGGGGAGGCGGGCACGGGGTGTTTGTGGGGGCATCGGACTCTTCGTTTGTGGTGCTGGATGCAGTCACGGGGCAGGCGCTGCTGAGAGGGCCGTTGAAACTCAGGGAAGCATCGCCTGCAGTCTCCATGCTGCTGCTGGGTGAGTGGAGGAAGGTTTCTCGCCCTCTGGTTGAGTCAGAGAGGAGGAGTTGGGGGGGATGGCTAGGGGTAAGGTTTCTGCTTTTGTGCAGAATGGGGAGGGCTAGAAAGGGGAGGAAGGTTGTGGGGGTGTACCTTGCTTGTTAACTAGGGCACAGGCACCGATTTGTTATGCAGATTGTTTGTTCTGCGTTGATACATTAACCAACCCCAGTTTGACTCTGTGCCCGCATCTCAGATGTTGTGATCCCGTCTCTCTTCTTCTAAGCCGTTCTCTGTTGTAATCCCATCCCCCATATGAACCCATCTTTCTTACTAACCCATCCCACCTCACTTATGAGAACCAACATCCCGCCCACCTCTCCAACCGAACCCCGGATCCCTGCCCCCCTCCTCTCCCGAACGTCTGCGCCCCCCGTCTCCCTCCCTGCAACGCCTCTCAACCATCAGATGCGGACGGGTCCCCTCTGCCTCGTCTCGCTGCTCCTGTTCGTCTCGACCACGTCCGATCCTCCCGCTCCTCCCGCAAACGACGACAGCACACCCCGCAGCAGCTCCAGCAGCAGCACCAGGAGGCAGAGGAGGCGGCAGCGAGGGCAGAGGGAGAGAGGGAAGGGGGGGAGCAGCAGGAGCAGGAGCAGGCACAGGCACAGGCACAGGCACAGGCTGCAACCGCCACTGCTGCTACTACTCCCTCTTCCACTTCCGGCCCGTCCAATTCTGCAACAACCCGTGATGCAGGTGGTGATGACTTGGCAGCTGAGGGGCAGGAAGGCGGGGCGGAGGTGGGTAGGGACGAAGCTACTGCAGGAGGGGATGAGGAGGACAATGCTGGGGCAGGGAACAGTGGAGGGGTAAGGGGGGTAGGAGGAGGGGAGGATGATGGTGAAGGTGATGATGGGAGTGAGACTGTGTCTGAGGTCGTCACTGGCAGCAGCAGCAGCAGCAGCAGCAGCAGCACGGCTGTCCAACCACCTGAAAAGCCACCTGCAGGTGATGATGATGGGCCGGACACGGCACCTGAGGATGCACCTGCTGTTGAAGGCACGAGCCAGCAAGAGAGGGACCCTGCTATGTCCAACGACCCCAGCCTCTCGTCTCCTCCCACTTATCCAGGTGCTCCTTCTGACTCTGCCCCTTCTCCCACCATTCGCAAATCTTCCTCGTTCGGCAGCAGTTCCACAGAAGCAGCAGCAGCAGCAGCAGCTGAACCTGATCTGCTGCCGCTGCCCCCTGCTAGAGCGGCTGCTGCTGCAGCGGCGGCAGCAGCAGCTGCCAAGGCGCTTCTGCCGGCACCACCTGGGAGGCAGAAGGTTGGAGGGGGGGAAGATGGGGGGGAAAAGGGCAGTACCACTCCTGCTGCTGGTGCTGCTGCTGTTGCTGTAGGGTCTCCTGCAGGGGCGGCGGCAGGGAAGTCTGGGTGGGGCCTGAGGAACAGGATAGGGATTAGAATTAACGCCAAGGGAAGCTTGAGCTTCAGTGTCCACACGCAGCAGGGAGGAGCAGGCAAAGCAGGGGCAGGAAAGGCAGCCCCTCTGGTGACTGGTGATGGTGGTGGAGGCAGTGATGGGGCTGGTGCAAGTACAGGGGCGCTGCAGTCCCCGGCAGTTGCACAGAGCTCTGGTACTGCTGCAGCAGCTGCTGTCCAAGAAGTGGACTCCAAAACACCAGCAGCTTCTGGTGCTGGTGGCGGCGGTGCTGCTGCTTCTGCAGAGGAGCAAGTAGATGCCGAAGCAGCAGCAGCAGTGGCGGCAGCAGAAGCAGCAGCAGCAGCAGAAGCAGCAGCAGCACTGGAGGAGGCGGAGGAGTTTGACCCGTATGAGGCGTTGGATGCGTTGAGCATACCAGTAGTGGCGCCTGAGGTGCACTACGTGCTGCTCGCCACCCACATATGCCTCGCGCTCTGCGCTGCCGCCACCCTGCCACAGGTACGTGTGCGGGGGGGATAAGGAGAGGATAAGAAGACGATGGGCGGGAAAGTAGGGTAAGGATGGAAGAAAGGCGAGGAGAAGTATGGGAAGTGCAGCAGAAAGGAGCCAGTAGAATTTGGAGCAAACAACAAACAAGCTTGCGTTCCCAGTCTCGACTCTCGCTCGCTTATTTTCCAACCCCTTCTCGCCCCATCCATGGCCCCTTGAATGCAGGGCCTGGCGGTGAGTCTGGTGAAGAAGGTGCGGGGGTTAGAGGAAGCAGAGGAGGGCGGCACAGAGGTCCTTTGTCCTCCACCTCCCATTCCCCACCCGTTTCTCTCCCTCCCTCCCCACCTCCCCACCTCCCCGCCCCCCCTTACCCCTTTCCTTTCCTCCCTCTTGTAGAGCTTGGCGGTGAGTCTGCTGAAGAAAGCGCGGATGATTGCAGAAGCAGAGGAGAGCGGCAGGGAGGTCATCTGTCCGCTCGCCTGCTCCCATTCCCCACCTTCCGAGTGTAACAGACAGGCCATGTGTCCTCCCTCTCGCCCTTCTCTCTCCCTGTCTTGCGCTTCTTTCTGCAGGGCCTGCCTGTGAGTCTGCTGGAAAAGGTGCGGGTGTTAGAGGACGCAGTGGAGGGCAACAGGGAGGCTATCTGAACTCTCACTTCCATTTCCCATCCTACGCTCCTCCCTACCCGTCCGTCCCCTTCCCTTTGCAGGGCCTGCCTGTGAGTCTGCTGAAGAAGGTGCGGGTGTTTGAGGACGCAGAGGAGGGTGACAGGGAAGCCAAGTGGATGGGGTCGTTTGGAGTCACGCCTTTCTTTGCTCCCGGCCTCATCCTCCTCTCGGGCAATGGCTGTGTGGAAGTCAGGTGAGGCTCCCATTCTTTCTGGAACCATGACCACCTCGCTTCCTTTTTTTCATTCTTCCCTTCTTCCGTTCTCTTCATCCCTATTTCCCTCCTTCCTGTCTTCCCTGCTTACCTTCCTCCCTTGCTCAAACGCTCCTCTCCGGCTCTTCCTTTCTCCGCTCCCTCTCTCCCTCCCACCCCACACAGGACACTGCCGGATATGGCCCCGGTGGAGTCCAAGGAATGCTTTCGGAGTATCTGAGGCGGTCCTTCCACCCCTCGCAGCTCATGGCCACCACCACCGCCACGTCTCCTTTCCGTCGGACAGTCACCTTAAACTTCCCCGCCTACTCATCCCTTCTCCCCTCCCTCCCACCCTCCCTCCCTCCCTCCCTCCCTCCCTCCCTCTCTCCCTCTCTCCCTCCCTCCCTCCCTCCCTCCCTCCCACCCTCCCTCCCTCCCACCCCTCACAGGACACTGCCTGATATGGCGCCGGTGGAGTCAGGGGGAATGCTTTCGGAGTACCTGGGGTGGTCCTTCCACCCCTCGCAGCTCATGCCCACCACCACCGCCATCTCACTCGACGCCCGCATCGCCCTTGTGAGTCTCCTCTCCCTTTGTTTTTCTCTCCAACGCCTCTGTCATACCCGTTAGTAATCGTTGTCCCCAAACCCGAAATCCGAGGCCATAGCCCCTTTTTTTAGCCGTGACGAGAGCGGGCGTAGTTGTTATTCTGCTGCATCTGCAGCGACATTGCTGTTGCGCTGCAAGGGCGCGTTAAGGCGTGCGAGCTAATCAGAGTAATCATTTGGTGCATGAAGTGGGCCTTTCGTTTCTGCTAGTGTCCTCATAACAGCTCTCATGAGACCTAAAGGATTTCCTCTGTCTCTGTGTGCCTGTCGGTGTGTGTGGTTGCACGTGCGCGTGTGTGTGTGTGTGTCCATGTGCCATTGCGCGTGCCATCCATGAGCAGCTAGAGGGCGAGACGGAGATGGTCCGCATGTCTCTCTATGCCTATGAAAACGCGCTTGGGTAAGCGGCTCCTCCTCGGCCTCCTCCCCACCCAATTGCTTCCCCACCCCTGCTCCCTCCCCTTCCCCTTTCTCCACCGCTCTTCTACCTTTCTTCCCATTCCCCTCTCCCCAACCATTCCTCTCCCCGCTCTACCCCTGAACTTCTCCTCACTCCCCTCTATCCCCCCCCCCCCCCCCGTCTTCCCCACGTGTCGTCCCCCTTGGCCTATCAGCTTGCCGGCCTCGCTCCCGCGCCTGCACGTGCCAACCATTGCATCCCCAGTCTCCCAGCACCACCCCTCGTCTTCGGCGGCAGCAGCAGCAGCAGCAGCAGCAGCAGGGGCGGAGAAGGGAGCACCGATCACGGCCCAGATGGCAAAGGCCAAACTGAAGGAACGCCCTCTTGACCTTTCCTCTGGAGGAGCCCTTCCAGATCCCACATCTTTTTCGTGTTCCTCCTGTGCTCGCCTCACCGCCCCCGCATCTTTTCCGTCTCTGCAGTCCGGCCCGTCATCTTTTCCCCTCCTTTGTTTCTGACTCCCCTGACTTCCACCGTTCTGATGTCCACCTTCTGGGGTGCCTCTCTGTGCTCCTCCTTCCTGCTCTCCCCCCCTCCCCCTCCTCTTCCCCTCCCTCCGTTGTAGGGATTCCTGTGCAACATGGCGGCGATGACCAAGGCGCTGCTGCAGCTGCCTGCTTTGAGGGGCGTCAACGCTACACCCCCTCTTCCCTTCCCCACCACCCCCTCTTGTTTGCAGGGATTCCTGGGCAACATGAAGGCCATGGGCAAGGCGCTGCTGCAGCTGCCAGCGGCGCCCACCATCCACACGTCCCTGGAGCTCCCGTCGCTCTTTGCATCCTCGCCCTTCCCTCCCTCCGACGATCAAGAATCGCTCTTCTCCAAGCCACACCCAGACCCTGTGGCCCCATGTATGTTCGCCCCCTGTAATCCCCCGTCTTCTCTTCCTCCTCCAAGCCCACGTCTCCTGTCCCAGTCCATTTCCTGATTTTTTTATCCACTGTCCTCTTCTCCACGAGTTCTGTTTGCCGTCCTTTCATCAACGCCTCTCCTCCCCTCTCCTCCCATCTCCTTTCCTCCTCTCCTCCCCTCCCCTGCAGCACCCCGCACGCCCTCATCAACCTCAACCGCCCTGCCTCCCCTTGTCATCGAGCCCTTAGCCACCGCTGGCGCAGGCGCGCTCACACCCGGGGGTTCCGTGCTGCCGCGTGACCCACCCCCCTCCAACCCCGCTCCTGATTCCTCCGCTGCGGACGGCGGCATTTTCAGCTTGTTTGGGTTTGGGAAGCCGGCACCAGGGCAGCAGCAGCAGCAGGCAGGCGGGTCGTTGAAGGAGAGGAGTTCGGGTGGGGCAGGAGCAGGGGCAGCGAGAGCAGAGCTGCTGATGGCGGGGAGTGTGCCCCCCAAAACGAGGACGGCTGATGAGATCCGAGCGGCGTATGGGTACCCCAAGAGGCAGCAGGGCACGGTGGGTGGATGGGTGGGTCCTTGGTGGGAAGGAGATGACTCTTGAATCGACTCAAAAGTCACCTCACTTGCTGGAAATGCACACGCTATGGTGGGCGGGCGTGGTGCTGTGTGGTTGCTCACCGGTGTCGATGGGTTGTTTCTGGTGTTGCTGCATGGTTGGGCTTGGCATGGTGCTTGCCCTGGTGGTTGGCATGTTTCTCGTCCTCCTTCGTTTCACACTCCCATTCTTCCAATTGGACTCCCTCACCTCCTCTCTTGGTGCTCCCTCGCCGGTCTCCCTCGTCCCCCCTCGTGAACTTTCACTTGACCCAAGCAACAGCATTTGCTGTCCTGTGTTGGTCCATGCTTGCCTGTGTCCGCCCTCTATCTCGCTGCCCCCAATCCATTTGGCAGGACGCGGCGTCAGCAGCAGCCGACGCCCGCGACAAGCTCATCATGCGAGGCGAGAAGCTCAAGGTATGGCTTTTTAGTCCACTGGACTAGCCCACCGCCCGCACCCACCCCTCCTCCAAGTCCACCCATCCCATCCTTATCCACCTGTCCTCAGAAAAATCTTTGCATGTTCACATCACACAGATCTTCCACCTCATCGATGACTCTTGAGTCGACTCAAAAGTCTTAACCTATTTGGTAATTCACACACATTTCCTGTCGCAAGGTTGCCCTTGTGTCTGCCCCCTGCCCCGTGTGCCCCCCGTGTGCCCCCTGCGTGCCTCCTGTGTGGGTGTTGCGTGTCCGCTGTGTGTGGAACAGCAACTGGCATCGGATGCTGAGGACCTGAATGCGGGCGCAGCGGACTTTGCCACGCTCGCAGCCGAGATTGCAAAGAGGCAAGAGAAGAAGTGGTGGTGACGAAGATGGTGCTGGAGTGTAAAGAAGCTTTCTTAGTTATGGCCAGTCTTTGGGTGCATTAGTATTACAGAAACTTCAAGAGGGTTCCCATTCCCAGCTTGAAAACCCCTTTGGCTACCGTATCTTGCCGTAGAGCGTGAACCCAGACTATATCTACGACTGCCGGGAGGGATTGGGCGTATGGGCCGGCTATTCCTGTCACCAGGCAAGGCAACATCACGGTTGCAGTGGTTCGGCAACTTGTGGTACTTGTAGATACACTGTCCTCCATGTGTAAAGCCATGTGCTGCACCTGTGGCCTGCCTGACCGGATAGTCTAAATGATGGACTGTTCAGTTCACTCCATGAAAGGGCAGTGGTGTCAACTTATACATATTATCTATGTAGAAGTTATAGGCTAGACTGAGGTATGCTTCTAGTGAGTACAACCAACTAGTATTTGTTCTAGGTTTCCACCTCTAGTAATCATTCGTTTCTACGTTAACATGGTATCACGCTTAGGTTAGGATCCCCCCGCCTACCGCTTCCGCCCGTCGCGCCTCCTAGGCCCCGTCGCGCCCCCTAGGCCCCGTCGCGCCCCCCCTGGGCCCCGTCGCGCTCGTTAGGCCCCGTCGCGCCCCCCCTGGGCCCCGTCGTGCCCGCTGGGCCCCGTCGCACCTCCTAGGCCCCGTCGCGCTCCCCCTAGGCCCCGTCGCGCCCGCTGGGTCCCGTCGCGACCCCTAGGCCCTAACGCGCCCCCGCTGGGCCCCGTTGCGCCTCCTAGGCCCCGTCGCGCCCCCCATGGGCCCCGTCGAGCCCGCTGAGCCCCGTCGTGCCTCCTAGGCAGCGTCGCGCCTCCTAAGCCCCGTCGCGTCCCCCCCCTCTGGGCCCCGTCGCGCCCGTTCGGCCCCGTCGCGCCCCTCCTAGGCCCCGTCGCGCCCGCTGGGCCCCTTCGCGCTTCCTAGGCCCCGTCGCGCCTGCTAGGCCCCGTCGCGCCCCCCCTGGGCCCCGTCGCGCCCGTTAGGCCCCGTCGCGGCCCCCCTGGGCCCCGTCGTGCCCGCTGGTCCCCGTCGCGCCTCCTCGGCCCCGTCGCGCCCCCCCTGGGCCCCGTCGTGCCCGCTGGGCCCCGTCGCGCCCCTTAGGCCCCGTCGCGCCCGCTGGCCCCTGTCGCGCCTGCTGTTAGCGCTCGCCCGCCTGGCCTCCTCCTAGTGCCGCTCGGCCTCCTCCTAGTGCCGCCCGGCCTCCTCCTAGTGCCGCCCGGCCCCTTCCTAGCGCCGCCCGGCCTCTCCTCAGCGCTGCCCGGCCCCTCCTCGTGCCCGACCGGCCCCAGCAGCACCAGCCTGGCCCCTCCCAGCACCAGCCCGGCCCCAGAGCACCTGCCCGCCTCCCCTGCTCGGCCTGCCGTGTCCTCTCGGGCCCTGTGTCTTCTGCTTGCCTGCGCTGGGACGCCTAGCTGCTGCCCTACTGGAGAGTGCTGCCGCCGTGTCCCCGCGCCGCTGTGCTCCTGTGCCGCTGAGGAGCTGTGCTGCTGTGCCGCTGTGTCGCTGAGGAGCTGTGCCGCTGACCCTGCACGATGGCTGACTTTGTGCTCCGCCTGGACGCTGAGGGCCACGCGGTTGACTTCGCCGCCTGGCTCTCCGATCTTCGCCGCCAGCTTACAGGTCAGCGCCAGGATGGCCACTCTCTGGTTGTCCATGCTGATGGCTTGCTCCCCCGTCCCCCTGCACCTACTCCCCTCCCTGCTGACCCCTCCTCTGATGACCGTGAGGCTTTCTCTACTGCTGCGCTGGCCTGTGCGATCTGGGACTCACGCGATGCAGTAGCTCAGGTTGCTATTAGTCACGCCCTCCCTGTGTCTGAGCGCTCGCGTTTTGCTACTGTTGAAACGGCCAAAGCTTATTTAGACGCCGTTATTGCTCGCTATTCCACCCCTGCCTCCGCTTCTGCTGGCCGCTTGCTCTTTCCGATGCTGTTCCCAGACCTGGCTGCCTTCCCTACTGTCGCAGATTTTGCCACTCATTTGCGTGCCCTAGAGACTCGCTATCGCACTGCCAGCACTGCTGCCCAGCTCACTGCGCTCCCCCCTCCTTTCTGCATGACGCTCTATTTTATCGCTATGCGCCTGCCAGACCGCCTCGCTAGTGCTCGCGACCACTTTCTTAGCCAGCACCCGGGTGACCTCACCCTGACCGCCTTTGTCGACACCCTCACTGAGATCGAGACTCGCCAGCGCACTATCGCTCAGTCGAGCGGTGCGCCGCCAGTCTCTATCTTTCACGGCTGTGCCCCATCCCCGTGCACGTTCACTGACGTTTCGGCTGCGGTCGCCACGGCGACCCCTCTTACCGAGACGGCTGCTGCTGTCCACCCGTCACCACCCCTACCTCCCTGGCGGCCCTGAGATCGAGACTCGCCAGCGCACTATCGCTCAGTCGAGCGGTGCGCCGCCAGTCTCTATCTTTCACGGCTGTGCCCCATCCCCGTGCACGTTCACTGACGTTTCGGCTGCGGTCGCCACGGCGACCCCTCTTACCGAGACGGCTGCTGCTGTCCACCCGCAGCAGCGCTCGCGTCGCGGTGGCCGTGGCCGCCAGGGAGGTAGGGGTGGTGACGCAGGTGGTAGTGGTCGTGGTGGTGGTGACGGTAGTCCGCCTGAGGGGACTACCACCGGTGGGCAGGAGCAGCAGTCCCAGCAGCAGCAGGACCAGCCCCAGCCGCAGCCGCCGTCCCAGCAGCACCCGCCGCAGCCGTGGGCTCGTCTCCCGCCTGGTTGGCCCGGCACCTCCGGAGGCGGTGGCCGTGGTGGCGGCCCGCGCAGCTTGGCGTCTACCAGCGGCTCCAGTGCTGTGACCTGCCAGTACCAGCTTCAGACCGGGCCTCTCCGCGGCACTCTGTGCCGCCGCCCGCACCCGACCGCCCGCTGTTTCCGCCGCCTCGACGATCTTTTTCGTCGTCGCTTTGGCCCGGCCCCGGACCTCCCTGACTGGCACAGCCTGCTCCGCCAGGGCGTGCCGATCTTTGAGTTAGACATGGATCAGATAGGTGCTGCTTTGCATGCTTTGTATGCTGACGCTTCTAGTGTTGATGGATCTTACTACCCTGTGTACTCTAGTTTAGGTGTTTCACCCTTGTGTAGCTTAGCTTCCCCTGCTGCGTCAGGCGTAGGACTGCCTAGGTTGCCTAGTCTAGTCGCTGCACCGGCTCCGTCCCCGGCCCCCGCCACTGCGTCGCTGTCCTTCACTCTCGACTCTGGTGCTTCTGTCTGCTTCTTCCGCGACCGTTCCACGCTCACGCCGCTTGCTGCACCTGCTGTTGTCTCTCTCGCTGACCCCTCTGCGGGTCCGGTCGTCGCGCGCAGTTCTACGTCCCTTCCCTGTCCGGCAGTTCCCTCGGGCTCCCTTACTGGCCTCCACGTTCCCTCGTTCTCCAGGAACCTGGTTGGTGTCGGCTGTCTCCAGGACCTCGGCGTCACCACCACGTTCCCCGGGCACGAGCGGTTCGCTGTCTGTTCTGAGGCTGTCTCAGGTTCCCCCCTTGCGACGTTCCCCCGGGACCCGGTGTCCGGTCTGTTTACCCTACACACCGCTTCCCCCCCGGTTGGTGCGTCCTCCCAGGTCGCTGCAGCTTGCTCGTGTCGGTCCCTCACTCACCCCTCCCTTCTCTGGCACCACCGCTTAGGTCACCCTGCTCTCCCGCGTCTGCGTCACATGTCCCAGCACGGTCTTGTCTTAGGTCTCCCCGCGTCGCTCCCTGCCCTTCCTCCCTCGACTGCGCCACCGTGCACGCCTTGCGTCGAGGGTCGGCTCCGCCGTGCTCCTCACTCCTCCTCGCTGCGTCCTGCTACTGCCCCCCTTCAGACCCTGCACTTGGACGTTTGGGGCCCTGCCCCCGTCCCCGGACCGCGCGGTGAGCGCTACTTCCTTGTGCTTGTCGACGACTACACGCGCTACACCACGGTGTTTCCCCTGGAGCGGAAGGCCGACGTGCCCGACGTTCTTCTCCCGTGGGTTGTGGCTGCGCGTCTCCACCGCGGTCTCCCCGTGTTGTGTCTCCACTCCGACCGTGGCGGCGAGTTCGCCTCTGGTCGGCTTGGACAGTTCTGTCGTGCGGAGGGCATCACCCAGTCGTACACGTTGCCGGACTCGCCACAGCAGAATGGGGTTGCTGAGCGCCGCATCGGCTTGGTCATGGAGGTCGCCCGTACCTCCATGATCCATGCCGATGCCCCCCATTTTCTGTGGCCGTTCGCTGTTCGCTACGCGGCTCACCAGCTTAACCTGTGGCCACGCTCCCAGCGGCCGCAGGTTTCGCCGACCCTCCTTTGGACCGGGTCCCCCGGTGACGCGTCTGCGTTCCACGTCTGGGGCTGCCTTGCTCACGTTCGTGCCACTGGCACGGACAAGCTCACTGCCCGCACTGTCCCCTGTGTCTTCCTCGGTTTCCCCCTGGACTCGTCTGACTGGCTTTTCTACCACCCGCCGTCTCACCGCTTCCTCCACTCTCGTGACGTCACCTTTGATGAGTCCGTCTCCTTCTACCGCCGCTTCCCTCACCGAGGTCTCCCAGTTGCCCCCCCCTTTTCCTTGCTCCCTCTCCCCCGGTAGCCCCTGCCCCTCTCCCGCCTCGTCCTGCCCCGTCTGGTGTCTCCCACGTCACTCCCCTCCCGTCGGTTGTCCCCGTTGAGGAGTCTGCTGACTCTGGTGGTACCCCGGTCCGTCCTTGCCGCGTCCCCCTTCCCCGGTGCCTCCGCCCCCACTGTCGCAGTCGCCGACCCCGCTGCCGCCGCCGTCGCCGTCGCCGCCGCAGCCGTCGCCGCTTTCGTCGTCGCCGCCGCCGCTGTCGCTGCCGCAGCCCTCGCCGCTGTCGCCGCCGCCGCAGCCGTTTCCGCCACTGCCGCCGCTGCTCTCGGCCCCTGGGGGTGCTGGTGTGGAGGAGGGTGTTCGTCCTGCGGCTTCTGGGGGTGCCGCTGGTGTTGGAGGGGGTTCTCGCTCTGGGGGTGTTGGTTCTGGGGGTGCTGCTGTTGAGTGTTCTGCCGACGGTCGTTCTGCCTCTGCTGGTCCGAGAGTTCCGGCCCAGCCGTCGTCGCCGCCGCAGCAGCCGTCGCCGCCGGTTTCCGCTCTCCGCCTGCTCGGCCTTCCCTCCCCGGACCGCGCGCCGGTGTCTCCCCCACCGCCTCCTGACCTCCCTGTCTACGGTCCTGTGTTCCCGCCGCCAGACTCGTCTCCGGCCCGTCTTCCTCCTCGTTCCCCTCCTGTGTCTCCTCCGCTGTCCCCTGACCCTACCCCTCCGTCTCACGTTTGGGCTCGCCGTCCCTCCCGTGCTCGTCCCGTCTCTCCTGTCCTGCCCACCCACCCTATGTTGCTCCGTTCCCACTCGTCTCGTCCTCCCCTCCTCCCGTCCCCTCCTCCCTCGTCCCTTGCTGTTGCACCTCCTCCGTTCTCTGAATACCTCCGTGCTGCTCGTCCCCTTGTCCCTCGGGTCCTTGCCTCTCTTGTTACCGACCCTGCTGTTCCTGTCTCGCGCCTTGACGCGCTTGTCGCTGCTGTCGCTGACTTCGCTTCTACCCGCCGCCTTGACTACGCTACCGCTCTGGTCTCTGACCCTGCCCGTCCTCTGTCCGTCGGGGGTGCTCCTGCCCTTGGCAGTGACGTCCTAGAGGACAGGCAGTACGAGCTGGCTTTCCTTTCCGAGGCTGCTCCCCATCTCTGCTCCATGCTGTTAGTCCCTGAGGGTGACCCAGACGCCTTCGACATCCCGACCCCTCGCACCTACGCTGAGGCCACCTCGGGACCTTGGGCCTCTCAGTGGATAGCTGCCATGGAGCAGGAGATGGCATCTTGGAGATCCACCGGCACTTACGTCGACGCAGTTCCCCCGCCTGGGGTGAACGTAGTCGATGGTCGGTGGCTCTTCAAGGTGAAGCCCCCCCCTGGAGAGCCGCCTGTCTTCAAGGCGCGCTACGTGGCCAGAGGTTTCAGTCAGCGCGAGGGGGTTGACTTCTTCCAGACCTTCGCCCCGACCCCGAAGATGACCACTCTTCGGGCGCTGCTACACGTAGCAGCACAGCGTGACTACGAGCTTCACTCCCTCGACTTCTCTACTGCCTTTCTTCAGGGCAGCCTACACAAGCAGGTCTACCTGCGCCGACCACAGGGCTTCACTGGTACCTTCCCTCCTGGGACCCAGTGGCTTCTCAGGCGCCCGGTCTACGGCCTGCGTCAGGCTCCCCGCGAGTGGCACGACACGCTACGTGCCACGTTAGCAGACCTGCAGTTCTTTCCGTCCTCTGCTGACCCTTCACTGTTTGTGCGTTCCGGCCAGACTCCGTTCTACATCCTTGTCTACGTAGACGACCTGGTCTTCGCTACTCCTGACAGGGACGCACTGGCCTCTGTGAAGGCTGAGCTGCTGAAGAGACACACCTGCACTGACCTTGGAGAGCTGCGTCGCTATCTTGGCCTGCAGATCTCTAGGGACAGAGCAGCACGCACCATCACTCTGACCCAGTCACACTTGGTGCGTCAGGTCCTTCAGAGGTTCGGTCTTCAGTTCTCCTCCGCACAGCCCACACCTCTACCCGTAGACCATGGGCTCTCTGCTCCCGTTCCTGAGGAGCCAGTAGAGCCCAGTGGCCCCTACGCAGAGCTGGTGGGTTGCCTCATGTACCTGATGACTTGCACTCGCCCAGATCTCGCATACCCTCTCAGCATCCTGGCTCGCTTTGTGGCTACAGGCAGACACCGACCTCAGCACTGGTCTGCCGCTAAGAGGGTTTTGCGTTATCTTGCTAGTACATCAGGCATGGGGTTAGTGCTAGGAGGACGCAGGCCAGTGGTCCTTACTGGGCACACAGACGCTTCTTGGGCAGACGACGCTGAGACGCTCAGGTCGTCGCAGGGCTACTGTTTCAGCCTTGGTTCGGGTGCTATCTCTTGGAGATCCACTCGCTCGTCGTCTGTGGCTCAGTCTAGCTGTGAGGCTGAGATCTACGCTGGTGCCATGGCGGCACAGGAGCTCCGCTGGCTGACCTTCTTGCTCACAGACTTAGGTGAGCGGCCTAGCTCTGCCCCGGTCCTGTACGCTGACAACAGGGCCATGATACTCCTGTGTCAGGAGCCTCGGCTTGAGGGCAGAGCGAAGCATATCCAGCTGCGGTACTTCCTCCTGCGCGAGCTACAGCAGCGCCGCCAGGCCCGCGTAGTTCACTTGGCCTCAGGTGCCAACACAGCTGATATCTTTACTAAGGCGCTTGCGCCTAAAGATCATCAGCGGCACTGTGTACAGCTTGGTCTTGTTCCTATAGCTGCTCCCCTGTTAGGATCCTGATTGTGTACTCTCTATTATATATGCTTGTCAGACTGGCCTTGTGGCCTTACCTCCAGTGGCTGGACTAGTAGTGCCACCCTGGCTTGCTTCAGTTTTGGTTGTATTCTTGCTGACTGGTCTCCAGACCCCTGCCTCAGTGGTTGGACTAGTAGTGCCGCCCTGAGCTGTTTGCTTCTTGTTTAGTTTCACCCCTTGTCTAGCCTAGGGGGTGTGTCAACTTATACATATTATCTATGTAGAAGTTATAGGCTAGACTGAGGTATGCTTCTAGTGAGTACAACCAACTAGTATTTGTTCTAGGTTTCCACCTCTAGTAATCATTCGTTTCTACGTTAACAAGTGGTACAGCAACTAGAAAGCAGAATCAGCAAGAACAGCCAGATCATTACTAGTACCAGTAACATCAACAGATCAATTGGTCTGGCCTAATCTGGCTGGCTGGCCAGGGATGGCGGAAAGGGGTCCCTTATTTGATCCCCGCCCACCCACCCCCGCCTAGTACTACGCACTATGTGTGAATGCAAGCAGGGCCAAGTACAGTCAGTCAGGTCAGTAGCCAACAGCATCACTCCCCTAGACCCGGAATTGGAACATCCAGTCAGTCCGAATTGGGGCTTCTGTTCCCTTGTTTCCCAACAACAGGCACAAGCACGTTTGCGTCAAACGGCTGAAGGCAAACCAGAAAGTAAAATGGTGGTGAATCACTGTAGAAACGCTAGGGCCAAGATGCGAAACGTTAGCACGAGTTAGACAGACAGACAGTCTGACCGACAAACTGCGTCCGCTTGCTGCCCCTCAGATGCTGGCGGACATTCCCTCCCGCGCCTTGGCAGGGAGGGATGCGGGAGAGTGAGGATGAGGACGACTGGACTCTCCAGCGAATGAGCCACAGGAGAGAATGGTTGATGGGGCACGAGTCAAACCGGTAGGAAGGAAGGAAGCCGAAGTAGGCTCAGTGGAGCCCTTGCTAGAGGAGGTACAGGGGCTGGGAGGGAGCAGCAGCAGGCAGCGCAGGGGATGGGGTCGAGAGCAGGTCCGTGCAGGGCAGACAGCTAACACGGGCGCACTTCAAACGACCAACTTGAATTAGCAGCAGCAGAAGCAGCAGCAGCAGGAGCAGAAACAACAGCAGCAGCAGCTGGTGCAGGGGGAGGAGCAGGCACAGGCGATGTGAAGGGTTGGAGGCGATTCGAAAAGGGGCAGTGGGTGAATGGATGGTGCAGGAAGGAGGGGAGAGAGGAGGCCCATGCGAAGCCCAAGGATAGATAGAGGTGTAGGACTTGCAAGGAGGAGCGGCACTAGGCACATGTGAAACAGTTGTCGCATGTGAACCCCTAAAGAACTGCACAGCTCCAGGCAGGTGCAGAGAATGCAACTTGAGGTTTCCGAAACTTGGAGTCATGGGGTGACGATTCTGTTGTTGATGCGCCTCGAGAAAAATCGGAGTCATGCGAAGAGGAGAGGCTCGCCGGGGGTGGTGCAGGGCTGGGGAGGTGAGGGCAGGTTGAAGAGGCGGGAAAGGATGAGGCGGAAGGCGCGGTGCATGTTGACTCGGTGCGGCACAGAGCACAGCACGAGAGGGGCGCGCATGGCACGCGCCGACAGCACAGCCTGAGAGGATGTGGGGGATGTGGGGGAAAATGGGGGAAATGGGGGATATGGGGGAAGATGGGGGATATGGGGGAAAATGGGGGAAAATGGGGGAAAATGGGGGATATGGGGGAAAATGGGGGAAAATGGGGGATATGGGGGAAATGAGGGACATGTGGGAAATGGGGGATATGGAGAGGTGAAGGTGAAGGCTGGTGCAGGTGTTGTTACTAGTGAAGGTGAAGGCTGGTGTGACTCAACTAGTTATTACTTTCTATTGATATTTGACATATTGCTGGCAGAATTGAAGGGACACAGCGACACACAGGGATGCACCAACGGGCATGCACACACTCACGAGCACACGCACGGGTGCGCATGCACGCATGTACCTGCTTGGTGACCTGGTGCTGGGTCTCCTGTGGCTGCAGCATAAAGAGGTCAAACTTCGTGCCGACCAGCACAGGCAGGGCGCACTGGGGCACACGGATAGACGCACGGATGAGGAAGCAGGATGGGGAAAGGGATGGGGAAGACGGGCAGGGTGAAGGGATAAAGGGAGAACAGCAGAAGGAAGTAAGCACAGAGAGGGGCTGAACACGAGCCAAGGGTGGGCAGTCCTAAAGTAGGTGAGAGGGTGCAGGACGCCAATGGCATGGATGCGCGCTGAGACGTCTCAAGACACCAACGGTATGAATGTGGCTTGTGGAAGGATGGTGGGTGGGTTACCTGGTTTTGGGCCCGGGCCTCGATATACCAAGACTGGATGCTGGTATGGAGAAGGCAGAGAGAGTAAAGGCGAGGGGAAGGGGAAGGGGAAGGGGAAGGGGAAGGGGAAGGGGAAGGGGAAGGGGAGAGAGGAGGGGATAGGCGGAGATTTGAGAGATGAAAAGGGAAACGAACAAAATCACGCACCCTGTGAGCGTCACAGTGTGAACACAACTTTACATTGCGAACAACACCCTTGTGTTCCCTGGGAGGAGGGCTGCAATGCCCCCACAGGGCGGAATGTAGCTGGTGCCAGCAATGCCCCCACAGGGCGGAATGTACCTGGTGGCACCAACCCATATTGCAAGCAGCAACGCACCTGCGGAGAGTGGAGGGGCGCGTGAGGTCGAAGAAGAGCAGCAGCGCTGCAGCATCGTTGCACACAAGGGGCAGCAGCGAGGCGAAGTGCCGGCGCCCTGGTGGTAAGCACGCAAGCAACATGCAAGTGTGGGTGGGGCAGGCAAGTGTGACGGTGGGAGGCACAAGGCACAAGGCACGACACATGAGGGGTCGGGAGAAGTCGCATGGAGTTCGAGACCGACAGAGGAGGAGGGACGAGGGGGGACGAGGGGGGACGAGGGGGGACGAGGGGGGACGAGGAGGCACATTGGAGGGGGGCTGAGGGGACGAAAAGAGAGCTGTTAGTGTGTGGGGAGAGAGGGAGAAGGGGGAGTGAGAGAGAGAGGGGGGGAGAGGAGGGAGCGAGGAGAGAAGCGAGGCACGCGCTCAACCTCATTCGGCAGCTTCGGCTCTCTCCTAGCGTCTCTTTTACAGCAGCAGCTCATTGTTTCACTCAGGCGTGGATCACGAATTTCTCAAGTCCAGCCGCCTCGATGTAGCTCATCTTAAGAGCCCAGGAGAGAGCAAAAGAGACAACCAAAGCACCGGGGAAAGCTGTGGCAGCAGCCAGTTAACAATGGTAGGGGCATTAGAGAGGAAGTGGGGGTGAGGGCGATGGTGGAGGGCGGGTGGGTAGGGGGCGAGGGGGTGGAAGGGGGGGTTAGAGAGTATGGGGCAGTCCGAGAAAGGCTTGCGAAGAGAGAGAAAAGGGGGGGCGGCATGAGAGGGAGGAAGGGGTAGTGGGACGAGAGCAGAGCAGAACCTGAGAGTTCCCAGAAGCTGATGGAGATGGCGGCGGGGGGGGACGCAGGCAGGGCGATGGTGCGGTGGTGGCAGTCCACGCCCACTGTAGGCGCATACGCCGCCGACCATACCCCTCCCCCTGCGCCTGTGGGAAACTGCCCTTGCCCGCTTGACAGTCCTCCACCCGCTATCCCCCCGCTGCCGCTGCCGCTGCCACGGGTGCCAGCGGCGCTGCTAGTGCTGCTGCTGCTGCGGTTGGCGGGCACGCTGGCAACGCCATTGCCGTTTCCGCTACTGGCAGCAGCGCTGCGGCTGCCTGCAGGAGCGCCCCCTGCGGTGCCAGTGCCTGCAACGCTACTGCTGCTGTCGCTGTCGCAGTCTTCAAATAGACGGGCCTATATGTGTACATGTATGTGTGTGGGTGTGGGTGTGGGTGTGTGTGTGTGTGACAGCATGCAGGTGGTACGGGATTTGGTTGGGGGAGTGAAAGCGCATTCATCCATCCGTCCCTTCGCCTCCTCACAGCGACCCTCCCCCCTCAGTTCACCCCTCTAGTCTGCAATTTTTGTTTAAAAAAAATATATTTATTCAATTTCCAGAACGCGCCCTCCGAAAAGAACACCCAAACAGAAGAGCACTAGAACATTATTCCCCACGTAGCATTTGCAGCGGCTCACCAGCGCTTATGGGCATGGCCCCCAGCATGAAGCACAGCACTCACCATGAAGCTCGACTTGCCGCAATCCGCGTCTCCAATCAGCGCTATCTTCACCCAAACGGTCTCCTCCGAGTCAGGCCCCACCACCGACCGCACCCAGCTCATATCGCTCTCCCCGCCCTCCCCCTCCCCGTCCGCGCCATCCATATAATCCGCCCCCATTCCCCCGCCCCGCGCGTCCCCGTCATCACCTCCGCCTCCGCCTCCGCCGCCGCGCCCCCCTCCCCCCGTTCCTCGATTCGCCCCTCCTCCTCCGCCACCCATCCCCAAGTCCCCGCGGGCGATGTTATCTCTTCCCCCTTGTTGCGCCCGCCAATCGCCGTCAGCGTACGCGCGCGGGTCCCTCTCCCCCTCGTACCCGTCCTCTGCGCCCTCCCACACGTCGCTGCTCCCGCTGCCGCCGCTGCTGGCTAGGTCGTCACACACCGCGGACGCGCGACCGCCGCCGTCATAATAGTCGTCGCCGTCAGCAGCGGCCGGTTGCTGTGCCGGCTGCCACCGCTGCTGCTGCTCGTCGTTTCTGTCCCGCGTGTGTTGCTGCTGCTGCTGCTGCTGCTGCTGCTGCTGCTGCTGCTGCTCGAGTCTACGCCAGTCGCCGTCTTCCCGGTCTCCGTATCTGGGAGCCGCGGCGCGACCGACGCTGTTAAGGCCATTGCTGGTGAGCGATGGACGGTTGTGCACGAGGATTGGCACCTCGAGCGACTTGCGACGAGCCGTCATGACCGTGCACTACTGTCGAAGAGCCTTTTATCGGAGCTTCAAAAGAAGACGAGACGGGGAACGGCTCGCGGACGGTTCACCCGTCTCAGGGAACCGCTAATACGAAGCAGCTGGTTTCTAGGGGGCTTGCGGACTGGTTAACAAGTCACGGGAATATAGCAGATCGACTAGTGCTTCCACTCAACGTCTCCGCGTGATATGGCTTTCAAGATGCAAAGACCAATGCTGACGCGGAAACCAGCTTATGGGCAATGGGGTGACGGACCACAGGACGGCAATGACACACGGCTAAACGTCTAGGAAAACTTCCAAACGCGCCACTAGCTGAAGCGCCGTGAACCTTAGTACTAGAGTAAGGAAAGTGCAATGAATAGCGCGCTGTGCGGAAGTTCAAACGAGGAGGTAGCGAAACGTGCTACAAACTGTTAATGCGGCCAACCCTAAAATTTAGTTCTAGGGTCGTGGACCTAGCAGCTTCTGAGGGGAGGGAACTGGGCGAGAGGGAGGCTTTGTGGCTGTAGTGAGATCCACCTATGCATAAATTTGCGGATTTTCCAACACTTCGAGCTCTACCCTTACGGCATGGGGATAAGCGTTCATTTTAGAGTGGTAAGGCGATTCACATTTTAAGAGATTCGTTAAACACATAACAGGGCTGGTTAGGGTTATGAGCAAAAAATGCTTTGTGACGTTCTCTTATAAAAAAAGTTGCAGAATCAGTAATTCTGAATACATATATCGTTTTACTGACCGTACGTATAAACGAGGCTTGTAATACTGAGCGCGGATACACTTTCCCTACTCTATATCACAATTTTGTTGTGGACTAGTTGGAGCAAAAACAAGAGGCGACGAGATCGTCTTAGGGTTGCGAAGCATTTCATGATAAGACTTTATTATACATAAAATGTTTTATTTCCATCACAAAAAACATTCAATTTTTATTTCACAAACTTGAAAAAAAAACCAGCCCGATCGATTGCAATAGGTTGCTCCGCAACCCAAAAAAGTGAACTGTATTGAAGTAAACCAGGTGTTTAGGGGGGGCGTCATTGGGCTCGAGTGGAGTCAAATCCCGAGCCTGCGGCTCAATATCGCACTGAAATGCCGAAATTGGTCAGAAATTTGGAACACGACATTGAGCCGCGCTCAAGTGTAAACAGTACTCGGACAAACTTTGCAAGGGAGAAAGCGAATATGAACAGTGAGCGACGAAGCACACAGGCGAAAGAATCGGCGCGCGAAAACACCCCTCGTGTCGCCAAATGCTGCATCACCCCAGCCACAGCTGAACATTGGTTTCCCCATTTTTACGCTGGGTTACTATGCCTGTTTAGTTTCGTGCTGTTTGATTGGTCGCGAATTTACCATTTTCGTAACACTACACTGTAACACTTCTCATGCCCAGGCTCGAGCCGGCGGCTTGTCCCGTCAATTTCGCACATTGAGCTCGCAGACTGAGCGAGCGTCATATTGAGCCGAATGTCGCCCGCCCTTAGGGTGGTCAAGACTCTGTCGAGTAAACTTCAACAAACTGCTTGTTGCGGGACTGTGCGTAATTTATTCATAGATGTAATGAAGCGCAAAGAGCGTATGTCGAAGGATTTAGTAACGAGGGAACAAACCAACTGAGCAACATCAAAACAACAGGGAGCATGGATATAGCTAGCCTGGAGCGAACGGTCGTGGTTCGACAGAGCTGCGACGTGTGGTTCGTAAATTGGCGCGAAACGCCCAGATCTAGGCACGAAACAGCAAGGCGCGCAAAATGCATGCGGTCCGTCCGGAGGAGGCCACATTTGGGTACCGCGATTTGAATTTCGTGGCAGAGCTGCACGGCAACCCCGTTATAGCAGTGTACGCCTTACTAACTAAAACCCAGGATAAGGAAATACCATTTTCTTACACCCTCCCCCCTCCAAGGTATGGTCTTAGTTAGTAAGACCGCCGACGTCGCGCACATTGCATGACTAGAGGTAGACTTGTAACACCGGGTGATTCTTAATTTGTGCCAGGGGCACCCAACTGTTTTCCAGGGCCGTCCGGTCCTTCCAAGATATCAGAAACTCGATCAGGCGAGCCACCCAAGGGTCCTTGATCCAGTGGCTGAGAACCTTTACAGGTTCGACAGTAGGCTCGACGAGCGGTCGGATGTTCGGATTCGCTCGGTGACGTGGTAGTTTACTGGTGCTGTCGATGCATGGTCAGAGTAATCGCACTTGAAATGATGGGCTGACATTCCAGGTGGCCGGTAACAGTAGATGTGCTGTGACGGAAGATATTATATATCTGATGGTAAATGGTCCACAGTAGCAAGGGCGAAGTTTTGGGGCGATGGATAGTCCAAGGTTCTGGGTGTCGAGCAGTACTAAGTCTCCAACCTGGTAAGTTACCGCTCGTCGGTGTAGATCGGCGTCTTAGAAATAACATTCGCGCGCTTAATGGCTTCGCCTGCTCGCTCCCGGGCATTCAGTAATATTTCGGCGAACTGTTGGACTTGAGGTACAGGATATTCGATATTGGGCATGATCGGTATTGTAGGGTTCTGCCCGTAATTCAGGTAGAATGGTGACTGTTGTGTAGTGGCTGATGCGACGTTATTATACGCGAACTCAATCAGTGGCAGTTGCTGCTCCCATTCGGCCATGTCATCGCAGGTGGCGCAAATTAGCTATTCCATCGTGTGATTGGCTCATTCTGTCTGTCCGCCAGTCTTGGGGTGGTAGGCGAAAGAGAATTGCAGGCGCGTGCCAAATTTGTTCCTAGAGGTTGCGCCAAAAGTTACTGGTGAACTTTGTGTCACGATCCGAAAGATGGCGGATGGAATTCCGTGGAGGCGAACGACGGTTGAGATGAAAAGGCAGGCTGTTTCTTTGACTGGCATGCTTTTCTTGCAGGCGGCAAAATGGGCCATCTTTATCAGCTATCGACGACGACAAATATCGCGTCATTACAACAGTCCTTGGCAGGTAATCCTGTAACGAAGTCCATCGTCACCTACTGCTACGCACGCCCAGGCAGCGGAATCAGCTGCAACTGTCCAGATGACGTCTGCTTCGATGACTTCATAGTTTGGCAGGTTCTTCACGAAGCCACATGCTTCTGCACGTCCCCTTGCATGTCAAGCCAGAAATAATATCTGGTCAACTGCTGCCGTGTTTTCTCCACTCCAAAGTGCCCTGAAACGGTATTGTCATGGGCTTCCTGTAATAATAACTCACGTAATAAACGGTACTCTGGTATCCAGATGCGGTCAGTCCCTGTCTTCACGTAATAGAATCCCGTAGCTGTTGCGAGCTGTTCGTACGCACCCGACGTAAAGAATCTGTCCGTCAAGTACCCGAGGGTAAATAGGCCTGTTAATAGTGGAGAGGTTTGGGCGAGGATGATGGAGTTGAGATGAGCGGATGGGCGAGAAAGGGGGTCTGCAATATTCGATGCACCCTATTTGTAGGTGACCGTGTAGTGGAAGTTGGACTCCATGAAATTCAACCACCGGATCTGTCGTGTACTGTAGGCTTCGGTGGTCTGTCCGTACTGTCACGTCTGCGCCTATCAGGAAGCACCGCCATACCTTGAAAGCGTGAACAATCGCGAGAATCTCCTTGTTGTGTATCAGATAATTTCGTTCAGGCGGGTGCAGCTTTCGTGACTCGTACGCGATTGGCAGTAGGCCTTTGCCAAAGTCCTGTAACAGTACTGCTCCGATGGATATATCGCTGGCGTGTGCGATTACTTTGAATGAACGGTGAAAATCGGCGATGCGAAGGATAGGGGTTGAGCAAATAAAAGTTTTGAGCGCAGAGAAGGCAGCTTGCTCTTTCTCCGCCCACCTATACTTAGTCCCTTTCCGCAGCGGGTCAGTTAACAATGCAGTTACCCCTGCCATATTCGGAATAAATCTCATAACATAATTGACGAACCCTAAAAAGCTTTGTAGCTCCTCCAGGTTTGTAGGCAATAGCCAGGCTTGCACTGTCTCGATTTTGCGCGGGTCCCCTTCGATGCCCTTAGTGGAAATAACGTGTCCCAGTAATTCTAAGCGGTATTTTGAAAACTCGCACTTAAAGCCCGTGGCTATAATAGTAATCAAGAGGGCTGTTTAATTTGCTCTTGAACTTGGCACATGACCTCATCTTTAGAGTAAACGAAACAGAATAAAAACATTTCGTTTTGCAAAGCGGAATCTGACCGTGGCGGTTTGGCAACTGTTTTTGCACAAAACCATTCGGTGAACACTGCAATACGCGTCGTGCGACCGAATTCGTGGTTCCGTGAATAGTGAAAATGCGAAAAGAAAAGTGTTTTTTTTCGCGAACAGTCGCTGATTCTGGAATTGCAGACCTGGAATTCACTTGAATTCCCCAGTCAAAAAGCGCCTGTATTTCCTCGTCGCAAGCTGCTCGCCCAAACCCGTCGTAGAAACTCCGTGCGATGCACACAGTGTTTTTGCGCAATTCGCATCCAAATGATCGCGTCGCAACAAACAGCAAAACGTGTTCTTTCACCATTCCTCCAATCAGCAAGCTCGACCAGAATTTGTTTCGATGCACATTTCTTGTTCAGGCTTGAACTCAAAGCTGCCTTCCATTCTAGACTTAGACGGATTTCAAAGCACCAAATTCAAGTGGTTTCCAGGTCTGCTATTTTAGCCGCGGGCTTTAAGCTCCTTCGTGAGCAGCCGATGCTCTTGCAGTAGCGTGAAAACTGCTTCGAGGTCCTTAAAGTGCTGCTCCCGGGTCTCGCTATTGATCAAGATGCCGTCTAGATAGACTATAACACATTTATCTACGAGCGAACGGAAGATCTGGTTCATGGTCATTTGGAAAGTTTCCGGGGCGTTCGTCAAACCAAAGGGCATAACTACGTATTCGAAACTCCCGTACCTAGTACAAAACGTAGTCTTGTGACAGTCAACTGCGACTCTGCAAATCTGATGGTAACCCCCTCGTAAATCTTTTTGCGAAGCTGGTCGACCAGTTCGTCGGCTCGCGGGATAGGGTAACGCGACTTGATAGTCACCCTGTTCAGTGCTCCGTAGTCAGTGCACATTCGGTACCTGCCGTCTTTCTTCGGGGTGAACAGTATGGGGGCAGAAAATGGTGAGGAGCTCAGGCGGTTGATTTTTTTCTCCAGTAAATAATCTAACTACTTTTGTAATTCCTCTAACTCCGGCTGTATTAATCGAAATTGCCGCTTCATTGTGGGCTGTGTCCCCGGTTCTAATTCTATCCGATGGTCGAAGGCCGGTTCCGGTGGTAATCCCTCACGCAGGCCGTTCGGAAATATCTGCGGAAATCTACGAAACAGTTGCGCGAGATCGGCCGGCACTGCTGCTGTCAGCTTCTCTCAATCGGACGGTTGCGATGCCACGTCGACGATGCAAACAACTATAGCAAAGACTTCTGCGCCCTGTACGACCGCTCATTTGGTCGCCACGGAGTTCACCTATGTCACTCCCCTCATGATCTGCTTCGTCCATTGTGGAAAC